TTTCTACGATTGACCACCCTTCACAAAACAAACATCGACAGGTGAAATAAACCAAGAGGTAGCAACTATCGTTCTTTCAAAACAAGACCTTTTGTCCGGTACAAGCACAAAACATCTTGTGCCGCACCCTAACGCATAGACTCAATGGTGGGCATCGAACATAGCCTGAGTAAGGCCTGAGCAAGGCCTTGGTCAGGCTTCCCTGGGCCAAAAAGCATAAGGAGCTTCTCTAGGTCCTCCAGATTTGAGAGGTTCAAGTGTTTTCTGCAGTCTATTTTAGGGGAACCCTCCCAACCAAAAGAGGGGGTTAAGAAGGGCCGCCTGGGGGGCCTAGTCCTCGTGGGCTCATTAGCCTGCCATCCATTTGCTCAAACTGGGCTTCATGCCGACAGCCAGCTCTGCTAACGGCACGCCCCTGAATCCGTCGGGATTCTTGAGGTGTGGCAATTTGGGGTGTCTCAAAAAAGAACGGACCTCCCTTTTGCGGTACCCGCAACAGGAGGGCAAAACAACCATCCCGTGCAGTTTCCTTCAAGGGGATTTCCCTCTGGTTTATTCCCACAACCCTTGAAAGGGCCAGCAAGTTTCTTTGTGCTAAAGGGGGTCTACCCAAACTCCGTGGCAAAGAATCAAGAAGGCGCATCTCCGCCCTACTTTGGCTGGGACTGTCCCTTAGCCCTCACTTACCCGAATCGGTTTTAGCTGTGCTTCACATCAGCCCCATCGATATCTGAGGCGGTGACAGCAGCACCAGGACACCAGGAAGAAGAGGAATACGATCAAGCCCTGGGGCCCGATCTCTGCTGAATACTATGCCCAGTGCCAGGAGAGGGGGACCAAATACAACTCTAATGTTGATCCAGGACTGATCAACCCCTGTTCTTTTGTTTTTTCAAAACATATTTGCGGGTGATGGTGTTCCAAGCAAGAGGGTATCCGAGTCATTGTCAAGCCGAGTCATTCATGTTCCACACTTGCTTCTTGTTTGGGCGGGGAGGGACGGGAGGTGTGCTGGTATGGAACTTGCAAACACTTCACCCAAAGAGAACGTTCTCGAGGATCTGTAGGCAAGGGTCGCGCACACGCTGACCCTGCATGCACAGTGTGGCGAGCTTCCCATGCATCTACCCAGGTGTCAAGTTGATGCCTCATTCTTGAGCCGGCAAGAAATGCCCATGGGTCAAAACCCCGGTTAGCCCCCAGTGAGCATCCCAATCCCCACTAAAATAGACTAAAATGGGTGGTGCACCTACCCCAAAATGGTTCCATTGGTTTTGACCCACGGCCAAATCGAAGGTTTTCCCAAAAGGACATGTTGCAAACTTGGGCTTGGGTGCTACCCTTCGATTTGTTGGGTCTGCTTGCAGTCCTCCAGCAACGATTTTGATCGAGACACGCTGATTGGATGGGAAAACAAGAGCAAACCGTTGCCAGTTGAGGGAATCGACTGCCCGACCATTCTGCAACCAGCCGCAATGCACAATCTATCTCTTGAACGAGCCCCAACGGGCGTGATCACTCCCAGCTTTGGCATCGAGATGTGTGGTACCCATCAACCCAAAATGGAACCTGCAGAAGGTGCGAACTCCATCCCAAGGCGGACCCCACAGTCTGGATGGAAAAGTTGCCCAACAAGTCCGCGAATGACAAAAACTTGTTGCACAACACAATCCGGAAGCCTGAAATCAATCACGACGCTTGGCCTGGGTGATTGCCTCTCGCCTACACATATTGTCAGCTGCTCGCATAGGGAGATCTATCCTGATAGCTTTTGAAAGTCTTTCCTGCGCCCCCGACAGTCTCAGAAAGCTGTAAAGTGCAGTCTGACGATGTCACTCCGCCCCCCACTTCCCTTTTTGCCTGAAGTTGACTGCCTGGCTAACTGCTTTCTCAACTGCTCCTTGCGCAGCATCTGCAGAAACGACGCAGGATGAAATACAGGGCTAGCGAGACAATGATCTGGACAAAACAAAGTCCCAGCACCGCTTCTTGCCCTGCTGCCAGATGCTTGAACCGAATCTGAAGCCGGCCACCTGCATCTTGAAAGGCCACGACGGCGCCCAAATTTAGAAGCAAGGATGTAGTGTCTTGGCTGAAGTCGTCTTTCAACCTTAGCTCGTGGGGCATAGTGTTGGAATGCTCAAGATCGATCGCGTCATAGAGCGCCACACTCTTGCCATTCATGGCCAGGTGCGTGTCCCGTTGCGTAAATGCCGTGAGGTCAGACACATTGGGCGGCTTGTCTTCCAGTGCGGAAGACCCGAACTGCTTGTACATGCAATGGATCTGCTTCACGCTCCGACTCCCATCCCTCGGCCAAACCGTGAGAGGCATCAAATAGTCCCTCATCGAAAGGAAGCCGCTGGGAGGGACGAGGTACTCATCTGCGTCGATCAATGCAAGCCAAAAGGTGGATATGTTCGGAACCCTGAAGTAAGGTGCGTGAGGCGCATGAAGTGGGTGGATCTCGAGCACACCAGCATCTGAATATGGAGCAAAAGTCGTATTTATCGCAAGTACACGATGATCAGCATACATCACAAAATGGTCCACTCCTAGAACAGTGGAAGCATTGATGTATGCCTCCAAAATTAAATGCTCCATGAAAACCAAGCGGAACTGCGCTGTGAGGAAGTAGCTTCGGCACTCACGCACTCCCTGGCCTTCAGGGGAAAAGGCTGGGGCCTCTTTGCGGGTGTTCCCTACGTGATAGTTCCAGACACAGTGTTCCTTCGGATGATAGCGCCGCAGCCTTTCTGCCATGCCCATTTTGGACATGCCATCCAAGAACGGTCGGAACCGAGCGGAACTGGCGTCTTGTGTCCCGTTTGGGGTGTCTCGGCGCAGGAAGTTCTGATAGGCGCGGTCTGCAACAGACTGATTCGCCGATGTTTGTTTGACTTCCAGGAAGTCTGTATCAAATCGACTCTTGTACCCATCTCCGGTGTAGAGCCGCATAAACTCGCCGAGGCTCCGTGTTCTATAGTGATGCACCACCGGCATATGGCGGTGCAGAAAGATTTGGAGGGCAAACTTCAGGTTGCACTCATCCTTCACACAAGAGACGCCAAAATGAAACGCCAAGAGGCCTCCAAGGAGAATGGCGACTACGAAAAATACATTGCAACACCATCTCAAGATGGCGCTCATCAGTTAGATTGCCTGACCTTTCCTTGAAGTCAATAGCTGGCCCTTGTTTATCTACCTCAGCGTTGGAGATTAGTCAAAACAGGTCATAACTTGACTTGGGAGTGAGATGGGTCCGTCTCAGAATTGGGGACCCTTCGTTTGGAGGTGGTTTTGTTTGTGGGTTCCTTTCAAAGTCAACCCCAAAGGGCGGGGGTGGGATCCTACATTGGTCTCAAGTGTGTGTTGAAGCCAAAGAACATAACCCATCAAGTTGATGATCGTCTCCCACCATTTCACCGGCATGCGAACCCACTAACTCAGCGCTCTCTGTCAGCCACTCCAAGTATCTGCTGCCGAAATGTCCAGCAATTTTGCCGAACACCAGCCAGTGGGCTCGGCCCTTGAGCCGGAAACAAATAAGCGACAGAACCCCAACTTCTCCCCCCACGACCGGTTGGATTCCCTTACGCCCGCAAGACGCCTTTGGAAAGGGGAAACCAACCCATACAAAGGCCCTGTTAAGAGAAACCAACTCGTGGGGAAGGCTTTGGGGGAGAGGCTTGGGATTGTATGATCGCCAAGAGCCAACATGACCCCCTCGGGTTCTTGATTGATTGCTGCATGTCCGGAGATTTGAACCCAAAAGTTGTTTCCGCCCATCCTAGTGATCCAGTCACTTGAGGCCATCCGCGGAATGGACGAAAGCTAGGTTGAGTGAGCGAGAGCTGGCACGTCGTGCCGTAGCCATGCTAGTTGCAGCCACAACGTCAATTAATAAATTGCACACACTTTGCATAACATGTCCACTTGACATTTCTGTGCGTGTGTGAGCCAGCGTCTGCAGCGCAACACATTGCAGCGCCTGCGCGAGTCGAAGTATCTTCTCTTGGCGCAAAAGAAGCTGAATCTGCAGTCAGGCGCTTCGCCTGACTGCAAAACCATAACATTTGCTCAGACGTGCATGTCTGCATATATCTCTGTGCGTATGCGGGACCTTGTCGGCCAAAGTGGCACGCAACTGGAAGGTAGACCGAAGGAGCACCATTGAGGGAGTAGAGGTACAGGGCACCTAAAAGCAAAGTTGCGCACATGCAGAACCCACGTCGTCGCAGCTTTCTTTGGCACGAAGAAGCCTGACAGACTGAAGGGGCGCGGAATGATCCCGCAACGTCGGTTTTCTGCAGGCCCTTGCCTGCTGCTGTTGCAGAAAAAAAAAGCCTGCAAGAAGCATCTTGACATGTCGGCTGGCCCTCTTCTTGCGAGCTCGGCATTTCCGCCTTTCATGCCTCGTTCAGGGCCGGGCCAGAATGGTCAGGGGCATCACACATGAACATACAGAAGCGTCACTGACACTGCCATAGAGGAGAGGCAAAGTTTGAGCCTGCAGACACGTTTGTTGTCATCAACCCTTTTCGCGCAGTCGCTATCAGAATAGCCAAGCTCTATTGAAGCGTGAAGGAAACTGCACTTGCGCAATCGAGACTGCATGCGCGCACGCGCGCGCAGCATGCCGGTGCGAGCGTGAGAGCAACGAGAGAGTGGCGATAGAGAGAGGACGACAGAAAGAGAGGGAGAGAGAGGGAGCGCCAGGACTGGTGGGCAGGGGGGGGAGGGGGGGGGCAGGAGGGCCAGGAGGCGGCTGGTGGGAGGGGGCAGAAGGCGTGCCAGGGGGGACTCGAAGGGGGCCCCCCGATCTGCCGCAAAAAAATCAAGTCTTAAGGCCCCCATTACTGTGAAGCAATCTTTAAGACTCGGCCGGGAACAACTTTAGGACTGACTTGTGCGCCGACAACTGGCACTCCGGGCATTTATTAAATGCCTTTGCGTGCGGAGGATCCTTATCGTCATAAGCGCATGGCTCTTCGAAACTTTCAGGCGCCGGAGAGCTCTTGGCTTTCCGCGGATCCGAGGGAGGTCTTGCCGGTGGCTGGGGAGGCAACGGCGCTTGGCCGCTGCCCCATTCCAGGCGCTCCGGCAGTAGACCCACCTCTTCGGGCACCGGACCCTCCAACTAACATGGCAACTGACAGGGGCTCCCGTTCCTTTTAAAAGGACATGATTCTTCCAGGTACCTCCCCACAGGTGCCATGTTAGTTGGAGGAAGGGCAGTTTTCCAAAAAAAAAAAACACTGAAGCATGCTGCTTCAGACCCAACCTGCAGAAACCTGTGCTCCATCTCTCAACCAACGCCATGGTATGCTCGCTACGCCCGGATCTGGGGCTGCGGGCCCAATTCAGCAGCCCCCAGGCGATGGAGTAGCGGTACCCGAAGGTGATGATCTGGTTCACCGGGCTGCACCTCGGACCGTCGGACCCCGGCCACGCGGGACGCGAGCGGCCAGGTCAGTTTTTCTGCCCCGAGGCAGGGCAAAAAAATCGGGTTGCTCGTTCAAAAACGGGAAACTACAATCTGCCAGAAGCAACTGCCGAAAACAACCCCTGAAAAATGAACCCTCCCTTGAAACACCAAAGTTCAGCTTCCTTCCAATTGGTGGTTTGGAGTGGTTTTGGACAGGTTCAAGCCCGCCCCAAACCACCAATTCAGGGCTACCTGACAAACCAAAACCCCAAAAAAGCACAGCCTGGAGCTTTTGCTTGGGCGTTTGCTGAGGCCCTCACGGCACTTCGCCCTGGCCATCGCAGCCCTCACCTCAGGTCCGCGGCGTGATTTCTGGAGCCATGTCGCCCTACCCGTTGAGTAGAGGATTCTTGTGGATTGATTTGGTGGTTTGGTTGGTGGCTGGATTTTCGGTGGTTGGGTTACGTTTGGTGGGTTGAATTGGTGGTTTGGTTCGGTGGTTTGTTCGGTGGTTTGTTCGGTGGTTTGGTTCGGTGGTTTGTTCGGTGGTTTGTTCGGTGGTTTGGTTCGGTGATTTGGTTCGGTGGTTTGGCTCGGTGGCTTTCGGACAGGTAGCTCAAAAAAAATAGGTGGGGTATGGTGGGATTGGAAAACAGGGTGGCCAGGAGAGCCGGGTCCATTTCAATAGCCATGGTCAGGCCACCACAGGCTCCATAGTATGTGTCTGAGCCGGAAACTTCCTTCCGCTTAAGCCAACCACCTTTTTCCAGAGGGATACCCGGTGTTGCTAGACGGTTTCCCCCAAAATACCCGCAACCGCCCTCAGCGGGTTGCGAAGTTTGGGGCACATGCTCCAGGGCATGTGGTGATTACAACGCGGGACTTAGACCATCCTCTGCCGGCTGCCTGGGGAACATTTGCGGGGAAGAAGTGAGAAACCTTGGTGGACGGTGCCATCTGACCATGCTATTTGATAGTCATCGAAAGCATGTCGAACATGTAGGGCTGTATCAAACCCACGATCGTATATGTCTCGCTGACCCCTTTCCGACGTTATCGTTGTTGTTTCCTCCTCCTGGCTTTACTGCTTTGTGTGTGTTTGTCCCTGTGTGGCAACATGGGAGCTGGGAAGGTGGACTCCGAAGTGCTTCTTCAGACGCCCAGATGGGAAACCGCCCAGATGGGAAACAAAGGGGTGCCGTGCATGTAATCGCATGGGATGCAGAGGTGGAAATGTTACCTGTGGACCCTGCATCACCGGCATCCAAGAGAGACTGTCAGCTGTTCCCCGTTAGTATCTGGGTTTTCGGGCCAATTTTTCCCCACCCCAGACCATGGAGCTTCGCTCCCCCAGACAACTCGAGCTGGCTCTCGGTCGTCTGGATTTATCCGGAGGAATCAGGCTCAACACGCTATGGATATCCCAGTAGAACCGAACCAGTGGGTTTTGCGGTGCTGTGAAGATGTGGTGCTTGCAGAAAGAAAAGCCGAGTCATGAGCTCACGACTCAGGCCTACTCGACTGGGCAGTCTGCAACCCCGAGGGCCCCGCTGCTGGCTGGAGCGGCAGCCTTCTGAGCGTCCTCGGTCTAAGGGTAAAGGGTCCCGGGTCCCTCAAGCCTGGGCTGCCCGATTTCTGATCCGCGAAAAGTGACTAACTGTTGGTGGGTCAAATGGAAACTACCACTAAACATTAAAAGGATCTAAAAAGCTAAGGAACCTGAGGGAGCCACCAAGAAGCCTGGGGTTTCCATGAAGGCAAATACCCGCAGGCGCCTTAGCACACGGATTTGGGGGGTGACGATCTCGCCATGAAGCTCCTGTACTTGGAAATCCAAGTCTTACTTCAGGTGTTCGAATTATCTTAGAACTTGGAGAAACATGGGGAGCCCGTCAAAATGGCAGTGCTCGTTTAGAATGGTAGATTAGGGATTTGTATTCCTGGTTCTTAATTGGGTGTACAGGAGGAAACCATACGTAACCACCAAACCACCAATCCACCAATCCACCAATCTAAACCACGAATTAAAACAAGCTGATTTCAGGTTGTCATGGGGGCTGGGGGGGAGGGAAGGGGGGAGGGAGCCCAACTAAGCCCTCATTAAGCCCTCAATACGGCCTTATTTAGGTTTTATTTGGGCTCCCTCCCCCTCCCCTCCCTCCCCCCCAGCCCCCATGAGGTTGGTTGTAAGGCAAAGAACCCCCGCCATTTTGTGGGTCCCGGTCTCTGTATCACATGGACAAGTGAAAGCAAACCCTGGTGAGAATGGACGGCGACCCATGCTTTGCAACGCCCGGGGAAGCAGCTTGGTAAATGTGGTTGAAAAGAAGGGGGGAGGAACCTTTAGAATCCTTGGGATTGTCTTATATTCGGATTCTTGCCCCATCTGTGGCAACCACTTCCTTGAAGCCACAGTCAAAATCCGGGTAAGTGGAGGGTGACCAGTCGAGATCAAAACAGAAGCGCAGCCCCTTTGATTCTTTAGATTCACTCTGCATTGCTTGGTTCCTGTTTGCTTAGTTCTTGTTTAGCTTCGGCTCTGTTCGTTTTTACAGGAGGGGCTTCACAAATCAACATGCTATGCTGAGATTGATATGGGGCAAACATTTTTTTCGAGCGTCCGCTTTGACATTGTTGTTGGTAGACTAGGTCCTCCAGTAGAGAGGTAGAATCAAGATACCGTTACTTTTTCTGTAGTCGATTTTAGTACTGTGGATGGATGAAATCCTGCACCGCTTGGAAACCATGGGATACGGTATTTACAGGCGAATCATCATTTCAGGGTTTGTTAGGTGGTGCAGGATTTCGTCTATCCACAGTAGGGGAACCCTCCCAACCAAAAAAGGGGTGAGAGAGGGCACCTAGCAAAAGGAAAAGGACCTAGCAGAGTTCAGGACACACGCCCAGTCCAAATGTTGATTCGAGCCCCGGCCCGAAATCCTTGCCCGTTTTGCCTACAGGGTTTTGCTTAGTTTCAAGGGGGCGTGATTCCCATATGGCCATGGGTCAAAATCCCGTACTGCCAGTGAACGTCCCAATCCCCACTAAAATAGAGTAAAATGGGTGGTGCACCTACCCCAAAATGGTACCATTGGTTTTGATCCACAGCCATATGCCTGCACCAGGATGGTAGAGCCTCAAGTCACTCGGTTTTGGGAGCTGATTCTCTGAGTTTGTCTTTTTGGCGGGGATATTGATTATAGTCTTCGTTCAAGGCACATTTGAAACCCTTTGTGCTTGGTGGATTCCCCCACTTAGAAGAGTCCCCCCGAAAAAAATAATATAAGATAGTTTTTTAATGAAAAGGGAGTGTATGGTGGGCACCATGGTGCTGGAAACAAGGAACCAAGGACCACCCTGTGCAGCTTGCCATAGGCAGATTGGACAATGGTTGGACACAAATTTTGGCGTGCAAAACGCGGCACCCCAGAAGTGGGTTTCTTTCTGGACACCGCCCCCAAAACAAGGAACCCTCAAAACAACCAACAACCACGCACACACACACTTTCTGGCCGAGTTTTGGTCCACTCGGGTGTTGGGTCGCAAGCCCACAGGAACTCTTTTCCCGTTGTCTCCTGTGCCTACCTAAAAACCTAGAGCTCCTTGAGTGAAGAGGTTAGAATAAGGGTACCGTTTCTTTTTTCTGTGGTCTATTTTAATAGGGGAACCCTCCCAACCAAAAAAAGGGGTGAAAAAAGAGCACTACTGGGGACCTAGAAACCCAACACGGGCACCACCCGACTCGTTGCTCCCGTCGCCTTCGCCGGCGCAGGAGCTGGCGCTGGCGCTGGCGATGGCGATGGCACCGACGGCGTCGGCGCCGGCACAGCGCTGGCGCCCAGGGCCAACGCGGACACTGGGGCCTGCGGCAGAGGTCGGCCCTGGCTCAGGTACACTCTGGAACCAAAATGGCAGTGGGTAAAAAATCGGGTAACCCCAAAATGGAACTAGCCAGCTGTCAGGGGAAACAAGGGTGCCCTCGAGAAACATGTATATATATATATATATGTATATGTGCACTTTGTGAGTCTTTCCTTTTGCAGGGTACCAGCAATACGCCTTGCTGCGGCGGTAGCCCCAAGCATAGGCCATGCAATGGTAAAACTTGAGGAGAAATGCCCATTGCAAGTACCTATGGCTAGGTAATTTACCCCATAGTGAAAGAGGGCCAAGGCAAATTGTCCGTCCCATGTCTTGCGATAGGGCACTCCCTTTGGTACTTTGTGAACAAAGTATGTCTTGGGAAACAAAGTTGCATGTCGTCCATGAGCTCATAGTTTGCAGTTTAAAGTCCTCGCTGGCGGGAAACAGTTCAAATGTCCAAAGGTTGAAAGGTGATGCAGCGCTCTTTATCTTTAATTAAGCACGCGTTGGTGGACATTGTTGATCAAACCGAAGAGGAACCAAAATCATTACCCCCTCCAGGAAAACCAGGAAAAATTGCAGATTAACCAGGAAAACCAAGATCATCGATCTTGTTTATATGGCATGTTTGGAACCAGGAAAAACCTTGTTGGCCTAGTAAATACATCGTGTTTTAGTCAGGGGTTGACATGATACCCTTTAAATAGTGGGTATTGGCCAAGGTGGGCAAAAAGCCGAACTCTTCGCTTGGATTTCCGAACCATTTCATCGCCTCCTGATCCAGATCTAGACGCGCGTGCCCGCGCAGCGACATCTGAAGACCTGGGACCGGCTTGGAAAGGGGTAGACTGTCGGAACAATAAAAAGGAGAAAGACAGTAAATTGGGGGGGGAGGGGTCGAAAAAATCGAGCCCCAAAACCAAGGCCACCATGGGTGCTTCCCAAAATCAAAGCTCAGAAAAGTCAACAGGGAACAAGAGCACACATCCTTATGTAAGCAGATGGAGGAGGTCATGTTCGTCCCCTCAGCTTTTGGTCTCTGGTCCAAATTTAGCAACGCAACTGTCAAATGCTTTGAACAGGCCCAGAAAACAGGGTGGCGTTGGTTTCAACCTTAGTGACGAGAGTGCAACTGTTTCTTGTGACGGCTGCATATGGGGAGTTTCTTTTAAGGGGGGCCAAAAATACGGGTGGCTGCCTATTGTTTTCCCTGGTGCGAATCTCACTTTGAGAACTGTGCGTCTTGAAACCTGATCCAAATCCATTCGCCAGGTACTGCTGTGCCTCTTTGCTTTCCAACCATCTCCTTGAGATCCTGAGAGCTCAACACCAGAACGAAACCGCCCAGTTCGGAGACCTTTTCATCGGAAGTTGCAGGTTTCAAAAAAATAAGATAAGCTCTGAGCAAACCACCAGGACATATGCCTGGTCCTGCATGCTCAGCTGTAAACCCAGAAACTCTGGGCTGCCCGATTTCAGATCCCCCACTAAAAGTGACTCGCTTTTAGTGGTTGAAATGGAAACTACCACTAAACACTAAAAGGATCTAAAAAGCTAAGGAACCGGATGGCTGGCTTCGCCACCAAGTACGAGGGAAGCCATCAGCCGCCCAATTTGACCCAGGCCATCGACTGGGTCTGACGGAAGCCATCGGCGCAACTGGTCAAAGAGTTTCTTCTTGCCAGATGATACTCCCTATTTCCCACGAAGCCATCAGCCTGGGAGGGGGTCTTCATAGACATTTGTTGCAAGGGGCTGAACAATTGCTGACATGATGTTCTGACATAGTCATCCAAACAAGCAGCTTAAACTCTCCATGACCCTTTTTAAAAAATGGGTCCATGACCGATTGATTTTGGGTAATGGCCAACCATTCATTTTTAAGGGTCCGAAGGTGGAGACTCCAGGTCTTGTCCCACCAAGTTGGTGACATGAAAGGAGCCCAGCCATTGGACCAGCTTCGCTTCGGCCCCGCGGCTCTGGAGCTCCTTCGAGAGCACGGCAGCGTCCTGGAAGCCGAAACCAACTTCCGAGCCTCGCCTCCAGCCTCCGATGGGCGTCAGTCATGTTCGGCACCCAAAGTGGTCCCTTGTTTTTGGCCCAAATGTGAAGGTTCAATATGGTGTTTGGCCCAAAAATGGGCAAGTGCGAAGGTTCAAACACTATTCCTGTTTGATACCCAAAGGCTCCAATTCGATTGATTTAGGGCCTTCAAACTGAACCTGGTTTTGAGACCCCCAACCACCTCCGGGGTGTCTAACGGAGGGGTCGGGTCTTCCATTGAAAGCCCCGGGTAGGGAAGAAATCTTTGATAGGGAAATTGAAACCAAAATGTTTGGAGCTTGACCCGTTCTCTTTGAGAGCTTTGGGACTGCGGCCAAAGCAAGAAGGGGAACCTTTGGTGCAAGATATCTGAGCAACAGGTTCTGCCAAGTTATATATATTAAAAAAAAAACGTGGTCAACACTCCGCGTCATGGTTCGCCCTCGAACGGAATCCTTGCAATGATTGTTTAAATTCCCGCAGAGGTCCAAACATGTCCCAACCCCTTCCCCAAGTAAGGGTCGTTTGACCTGTCGGAAAGCCAACCAACGTAAAGCCTGGCGGAAGGGTCGGAGTACTTCAGACTTCCGGCCAGGTTGCGTTCCACTCGTCCCTCAAAAAACACATTGACATGGAGTTGGTAGTTGTAAGAGTTGGTCCCTGATAAACCTAAAGAACATGAGGCATATATGTCCTCCCACCTAACATGAACCCACCAAGGAATTGGCCCCACGTCAACATTTGAACTATTACCACCTGAGTGATAAAACCCAGTATTAAAATGGTCTACCCAGAACCATGTAAAGAATTAAGAAGGCGGCCGCAGCTATTTATGGTTGGGATTGTCCCTTACTAACAATCATCTACCCGTGTTTTGATTGTGGCTCATATATCCTCCCACCTAACATGAACCCACCAAGCCAATCCCCACGTCCATGTTTGAACTATTACTTGGATGATCTGGGAGTTAGCTAAAGGACTAGTAACCCCGGTTGTAACCCATACAATGGTTCTAAGTCCCCTGTAAGATTTACTAACCATTTAGCGATTCGTCCCAGACCATCTAAGTACCACCAGGCATATATATATATATATATATCCTCCCACCTACCATGAACCCACCAAGGAATTGCCACCACGTCTGCGTTTTGTCTTTTTTGCCACCCAAATTCGTCGCTTCCGCGAATTCCACCACCCAGACGCCCAAACACCTCCGGGGTGCCTAATGGAGGGGGCGGATCTTCCATTGAAAGCCGAAGCCAGGAGCCTCTGGGCAGCGACTCGACTCGTCCGACGTCGCCGAGGTCGACTCGAGTCCTGCGCCAGGTACGCGGCCACGCGCGAGGTGCGCTGCACCTCCGCCTCCAGGTCGGTGACGGGCAGCTGCTGCTCCGACTGCACCTCGAGCTCGCGAGCGAGCGCAGCGAGCCAAGTGCCGAACGGCGAGCAGAAAAAAACGAGGAAGCTGGTCTACTCCCCGAAAATACCGAGGAAACCCCAAAAAAACTGAGGAAACCAAAAAAACTGAGGAAACCAACAAATATGTGGAAAAATGAGGAAACTGATTTCCTAAAATCCAACAAAACAACCGAGGAAACTCGTCTACTCCCTTTCCAACATGAAAGTGGACGTGGGGCCTCTGGGAGGAAAGTTGTCATTGACGAAACCCTTCTTTAAGCTTACGTGAAACTCTTGAAAAAGAAATTGGCAAAAACAGCGATTTGGGAATTGCAAGCGCTGTGATGGAAAGCCTTCCGAGTGACAAATTATAGGGAGGTTCCCTTGTACGGAAGTGGAACCAACCCTTAAAGAACACGTCCAGATCCATCCAAACGGGTTCTTGTTCACTGCAAGCCTGAAAGGTCGCAAGAGTCCTAGATTCCTCCCTCCAGGATTTCAGATTCAATACCTTTGCCATCAGGCAACTCAAGTGGCAACCAAAAGGCGAAGCGCGCGAGCGCTTCGGACCGGCGGAGGGATGCAGGGGGGTTCGGGCATTTCTTCGAGACGGATCTGTGAAAAGAATGGGGAGGGTACGGCGAGAAGAATGGATGTTAATTAGTGTTGCTTTCGAGAGTTGAAACCAGGGCTGTTCCACAGCGGCCAAGGGCGTCGGTTGGCAAACTTGATTGTCATTTGGGGACCCTGGTTGAGATTTGGGTGTGTTTTGTTGAGGGTACCCTTTTGGGGTGGTTGAACAAAGACGCCCAAAGCAAACACACCACTTCCGGGGTCCCCCTTGTTTTGACACATACCCATGATATTTGAAAAGGCACGTGCAAAATGGAAGCCCTTACCCGCCCTCCTTTTCAGTACAGCAAAAGCAGCAAAAGCCAAAGATGTCACTTGAAGCATCAAATCGACTCATACAAGTCCACCTGTCTGCGGCTGTGCAGCCAAGCCATCCGGCTACAGGCTTCAACAAAATGGCCATGGGTCAAAATCCTGTACCCCCAGTAAACATCCCAATCACCACTAAAATAGACTAAAATGGGTGGTACACCTACCCCAAAATTGTACCAATGGTTTTGACCCACAGCCAAGTGTCAGGGTCTCGTTTGATTGCGCGCCTCCGCATCAAGAGCAAGGCCACAGATCCCGCAGACTTTGGGACATGTTTGCGGTGACAAGCCATCACGCGGCATGCGTCCGAGGAGCAGTGACCGTCTCATCGCCGGTCCCATGTGAAACCTCCTGGGCAGGAATCACAAAATTGTGGAAAAGATGCCAAAGAGATGTGGAAAGAAGGCTCTGTGAAAATGACGAATTGGTATCTGGCCATGTGGAAACAAAGCCCTGCGGTACCAAAATGGACCATTGCGATGTGACCATGTGGGTCTTCCCTTGGTCCACTGAGCGCGCCTCTATTGCTTGAGAAACCTAAGCACAAGATAAGACCTTCAGGCCACCCCCACATTCAAGGTCTGCCGTTTGACCCCCCAAGGTGTTTCAGTGTAGAAACCTCAAGAAGAGGGCTGCGGCAGCTTGACACATCCCGCCAAACAATAACGTGGAACCTACCATGCCAATCTGCGGGAGAGTGACATGTGGCTGGGCAAAAAAAAGTCGGAACCTCAGTAAAGGACCTCAGTGCTCCCATGTCCCGAACCTCAAATAGACCATAGACCAATCCGTAAACTTCATCCCTTTGTCTTTCGAGCGTTGTGCGGGTTGGTACGGTTGGTGTCAAAGGGCAAACAAAGGGAACCCTATTTCGGGCCGTCCAAATATGCGTATTTTCACACATACCCATCTGCTTCTCCAAGTCCTTCCCTGGAACGTCCCTTGCTAGTCTGCTTTGGCGTTTTGTGGGTTGGTACTGTGGATGGACGAAATCCTGCACCACTTTAACAGTATTGGACACCTTGTTTGTTGGTATTTGCAGGGGAATCGAATCATTCCAGGGCTTCTTAGGTGGTGCAGGATTTCGTCCATCCACAGTATGGTTGGGGAACCCAATTTCTCGAGGTGTCCAAATCCCTTTGGCGTCCTTTTAAAGTAACAACGCGTTGAACGAGCCACTCCCGGCGCCCCTCGGCCACTTATTTGCAGCCCAGAATCGGCTTCCACGCCAAAGCCCCCCGCCGCAGCCGCCTAGGAGCCCCATGCAGCTCCCAGTTGCCAACCCCCTAAAAGACAAGACCCCAACCAAAAAGGCCGCAAAATCGGCTCCAAGCGCCCCAAAGGAGTCCCAGAAAGTCCCAAGCGACACACCCATCTTGAACAAGCTTGAGGCTCCCATGGAACCTGATAGCTCTCTGCCTTGCCGTATTTTGAAAAATCGCCCCGTGGAACCGTTCCACACAAAACCCTGAAGCCTTTCAGCCCGGCAACTCACACGCAGCTCCCGCCGTTTTCTGGGGCAGTGCCTGGGCGAATGCTTGGCATGGGCCACGCCTCCCAACGCACGCAATTGAGCACGTCGAGCGGGCCAATGTCCATCCCGCAAGTGCTGGATGAGAAAGGGCCAGCAACACACTGCTGCCATGCGAAGTCATCCTAAAATGTATTTCCACAAGAAGTCTTGTAAGCTGGTTTTGAGTCAAACAAAGCTCTGAATGGCCAACGATTCAAGCGGCACACACGTCAGGTGCTCCGCTGAGTCCATTTGCGATCATGTGCATGGAACCAACCAATTGGGCCATTTGCCTCAAAGTGGAACATCTGCCAGGAAAAAAAACACAACAAAACAAAAAAGAGGAAGAAGAAAAAAAGCGCAGAAGAAAAACAACAACGGTTTTGTGGTCCCATCGAACCCCTGGAAAGACAAGCTGAGTCGACATGAGCCGAAGATGTCTCGGCTTGAAGGTGGCCCTCGCAGCGGCTTTGGCCAACTGCTCCGGGAAGCCCCGCCAGAATGCTGCTGGCCGGAGCCAGGTCCTGGCCCAAGCTTCGGGAGAAAATGAGAACTCAGAGTTACCAGAAGTCTAGGGGCTGATTCCCATTCTTTTCAACCATCCTTCTTTCCAACAACCGGAGATCCGTTTTCCCCTGGTTTCCGGCGGTTTGCTAGAAAGATTCGGATCCCTGGGTATGTGGCTCGCTCAAAATGTAAGAGCTGGGTTGCAAACCGCAGGTTTTGGGTCTTATGCCATTTACCTCAAAAAACCGGAATTCCAAAATGGCAAATGGGTTGCCCTGGTAAGTGGAAGCATGGAACAAACAATTCGCGGTTTGCCCCTCCGATCGCTTAATGTTGAGCCACGGCCATGTTGATACCACTTCTTTGAGCCGAGAGCAATCTGTGCGTTTGATGGGCCCGGGAGTTTTGGGTGGACATCCTTTAGGTTGGACCATAGGGCGACCCCAACCATGGGGTTGGCACACCCATTCTATAGCATAAACCTGGCAACTTGCGAAACATGACTGCAACATGACGGCGGTTGCAGAAAAGTCCCTGACATTTACGGGGAGGTGTTTTGGATGTCACAAAGTGGTCACTACAAAATGGGGGGCTTCAGGTAGGGATCTGCGTCACGCTGGCCACCTTTAAATCCATGTGTCACTTTGTAGAGGGTCAGTTGGGGTCTTAATCAAAACAAATCCAGAAGCAGCTCTCCAACATCTGCTAGGAACTGCTGAAGGCGTAGTCTGCCAGCTCAAACCAACACGTGCGCCCCAACACACACACACACACATTCGAAAACTCGTCATTTTGCTGTGTGTGTGACGGGCTCTTGGCATTTTGTAGTCCAACAGTGGCTGGTTGAGTTCACATAACCTCAAGTTGCTTAAGTCCCCTTGAAAAGATGTCCAGTAGTGATAGATTCAGTTCAAACCCAACAGGGGGAAATAGCAAACAGTTTTAAGAACATGGACGAAAAAAGAAGGGATGTTGCTAGGTGGCGCCATAGGAGCCAAACAGCTTCAACCAAGCCCAAGGACTGCAACATGACAAAGCTACCAAACCAGTTTTCTACAACATTACCGAACCAAGCACAACCCCTCAACATGGCCCGCCAAGAAAACAAGACAACGCAGCCTCTACAAAATGGATGGATTTTGTAGCAACTCATTTATAGTCAAATTCATCATCCCTCTACAACATGGGTTTCCAGAACATGTTTGCACCCGACGAGAGGCGCGACTCCAAACTTTCACGACTAACAAACACGTTTTCAGGGAGGTCAACCCCCTCCCAGTCTGTAGGGGGAATCAAATTTCAAATCCCTCGAGTCAAGCCAAAATGATACGACCATCACCCTGGGATGGTTTTAGGAGGAAAATGTATCAAACAATTGGAAGAACGATTCCATCCATCCAAGACGGCCCTCCAGCACTTCAAACATGTGGAAGGTTCCCTGGAATTGAAATGACCGCGGTTTGGAGTCATGTCCAAAAGCACGTCTGGTTTTCGCTACTTGCGCTCCTGTTGCAACCGAACCCCTGAGAGACATGTCCCCTTGCAGTCGAAATCCTTCACTAGGGGAACACCTCCTGCAGCTTCAATCCGGTGTCCACGTTAGGATGGGGCAGGGTCCATTACAGCGACATCCTCAGAATTGCCCGAGAAAACGGTGGCAAAAGTAGCTTGACAATCGCCCCTCCCCCCCAAATGCAAAAACAGTTTTCATACAGTTCAAACAAAAACAGCATTAATTAACCACTGGATTTCCAAAGAGAAACCGCTTTTTCATGGACCACTTCGTGCACCCAGCAAGGTTTCCCCCACAGGGAGCCGTCGCTCGGGTCTCCGAGAGACCCTTTTCCCAATGGCCTGGTGGTGCATGTCGACGACATCGCCTCAATCCGAGGCAAATCCAGATCTATCTGAATATGGCAAAGCTTTCTATATCTGGGTATATGGGTGTGGCTCAAAATTAAACAGGAGGGGTTACGCAGGTTTTGGTCCATGTTTCCACTTACCAGGGTTCCATTTTGGTACCGGTTTTTTTAGCCACAGCCATATGTCAAAATAGGCATTCATCCCCGCCCAAAAAAACAAAAAACGAAGAAGCCCCATGGGGGTTCATTCGAGTTCCCCTCCAAGTCGAGGTACAAAGGGTACCCTCAAAAGCAATGTAGGGTGATTTAGGTGTTTCTTTGCCCTGGGGCAAGGGGTGTCCCCAAATTTATTTTCTAGTCATCCCAAAGGAAAAAGTGTCCAGTGTGGACCATGGTCATGGTTCCCAAAAAACGCGCCCTCTCCTTGGTTGACTAAACTCCCCATTCAGAAGTCCACGACCATCCCTCCCAACCCCAAGTAAACGGGGGTCCTTTGACCACGTATGAGCCACGCTCAACTTTCATGGGGCCCCCGAATTTGCGAACCGAGTGTGCCTCAGGCCCCCTTTTCTACAGCTGATTAGACGTTGACTCTGAATCCACCAGCAGGGATCCTTAGATTATACACCTGAACATTGCCTTGTAAATGGTGTTTTTTCCCCAACAGCTGAAAGCTTTGGGGTCTCAGCCCAGATAGGCTCCGGGGTGGTTCGGGGCGACCCTGAGCTAAGGTTCCACCAGGGTTCCACCAGGGGTTCCACCAGGGTTCCACCAGGGTTCCACCAGGGTTCCACCAGGGTTCCACCAGGGTTCTACCAGGGTTCCACCAGTTCCACCAGGGTTCCACCAGGGTTCCACCAGGTTCTGCAAGGGCGGGGTGGTTTGAGGTAAGGTTCCACGAGGGTTCCACCAAGGGTTCCACCAATTTCTTCGAGGGCTGCGGGTTTGAGGAAGGTTTCACGAGGGTTCCGCCAACGTTCCACCAAAGTTCCAGGCTGCGGGGTGGTCTGGGTGGTTTGAGGTAAGGTTCCACGAGGGTTCCACCAGGGCTGCAGGGTGGTCCGGGGTGGTTTGAGGTAAGGTTCCACGAGGGTTCCACCAGGGTTCCAGCAATTTCTTCGAGGGCTGGGGTGGTCTGGTTTGAGGAAGGTTCCACGAGGGTTGCACCAGTTTTTCCACCAGTTCTGCGAGGGCTGCAGGGTTGTCCGAGGTGGTTTGAGGTAAGGTTCCACAAGGGTTCCACCAGATTTCCACCAGGGTTCCACCAGCCCGTCGTGCTCCGGACGAGGGTTCTACCAGGGTTCCACCAATTTCTTCGAGGGTGCGGCGTGGTCCGGGGAAGGTTCTACGAGGGTTCCACCAGGGTTTCACCAGGGTTCCACCAGCGGTCCGGCTGGTTTGAGGTAATGTTCCATGAGAATTCCACCAGAATTCCACCAGGATTTGCAAGGTAAGGTTCCATTCCAGCATGGGGCTGCGGGGTGGTCCGGGACGGTTTGAGGTAAGGTTGTACGAGGGTTTCAGGGTTCCACATGGTTCTGCGAGGGCTATGGGCCCTGAGGTTTCACAGGGTTCCACAAAGCTCTGCAAGGATTCCACACGGGTTCCACAAGGCTCCACAATGCTCCACCAAGGGTGTGTCGCGCGCCCGTTTGAAAAGCCATCGGATCAAGATCGCTTTGCTCATGGGCGGAACACTAAGCAAAACCTAAATTTTAGCACACTTTCACTGTTTTGTGACTTGCTCACTTGCTCAGGCAAATGTTGGCTTTGTGGCAAATCAGATCACGTTGCTGCGGAACTCACGGTGCAGCAGAGTAAATGCTTGGCATTGCTGCTTGGTGGGCTTTGGGTTCCAAGAATTTCACAAGGCTGCGAGGGCTATGAGGTCAGAAGGTTTCCACCAAATTCTGCAAAAGCTATGGGGCAGCCCTGAGGAAAGGTTCCAAAGTTTCACGCTGAGCTCCACGAAAGTTGCGTGAGAACGGTTTGCGTTCACCGGGCCTAGGTCGGGGCCCGATTGCACTGTCGGGCCGCGCGATTGCACTGTTTGGGCCCGATCGGCCCCAATTGCGCTATCGCGCCCCGATCGGGGCCCGGGTACCAAGCTGGCATCGCCTAGTTTTGCTATAGATACAGTTACTAAGGAAAACCGTTGCACCGTCGGGCCCTGATCGGGCCCCGATTGCGCCGTCGGGCCCCGATCGGGCCCCGATTGCGTGTCGGGGCCCGATGACTGAGTCGGGCCCCGTACCAAGCTGGCGTCGCCTAGTTTTGCTATAGATACAGTTGCAATCCGCACGCTAAGGAAAACCGGCGTTGAGCTATAATATGAGTGGCTGGGACGATCGGGGCCCGATTGCACTGCGCCGTCGGGCCCCGATCAGGGCGAGATTGCGCTGTCACTCGTAGCTTTGCTTTACAAGGCGGCATCCTCAGCAACACCGGCGGTAAGGATGGTCCCGGGGCGTTCCCCAAGGATTCTGGGAGGGTGTGGTGCTGTTGGGGATATCGCCCGAGCTTATTGTTTATTTCCCCAGATAGCTGAAAGCTATAGGGGTTCTAACTTCTATTAAAGAAGGGAAGTGATTTGCGAGCTTGAGGTCGGGGTGCTAGGGGGCACGCAGTTTGGGGTGCTGGTGGATGCTGTTTTGCGAGTTTGCGAGATTGACGGCCGGGTGCTAGGGGGGAACGCAGTTTGGGGTGTTGGGGGAGGTGCTGTTTTGCGAGTGTGATGGCCGGGTGCGAGGGGGCATGCAATTTGGGGTGCTAGTGAGGTGTTGTTTTGCGAGCTTGGCGGCCGGGTGCTACGGGGCATGCAATTTGGGGCGCTAGTGGAGGTTCCGCGTGCTAGGGGCGCTGGTGACGGCCGGGTGCTGAAGGGCATGTAGTTTGGGGCGCTGGTGATCTAGCTTGGGCTGCTGGTGGAGGCGCCGCTTTGCGAGATTGACGGTCGGGTGCTAGGCGGGCACGCAGTTTGGGGTGTTGGGGGAGGCGCTGTTTTGCGAGAGCAATGGCCGGCACGCAATTTGGGGCGCTAGTGAGGTGTTGTTTTGCGAGCTTGACGGCTGGGTGCTACGGGGCATGCAGTTTGGGGTGCTGGTGGAGGTGCCGCGCGCTAGGGGGCACAGTTTGGGGTGCTGGTGACGGCCGGTTGCTGGGGGGGCATGTAGTTTGGGGTTGGGTGCTAGGGGGCATGTCGTTTAAGGCGCTGCCACTTTGCGAGATTGGCGGCCGTGTGCTAGGGGGCGTGCAGTTTGGGGTGCTGGTGGACGCTGTTTTGCGAGCTTGGCGTCCGGTGCTAGGGGGCGTCCAGCTTGGCTGCTGGTGGAGGTGCCGCTTTGCGAGATTGACGGCCGGGTGATGGCTTGCAGTTTGGGGTGCTGGTGGATGCTGTTTTGCGAGCTTGACGGCCAGGTGATAGAGGGCATGTAGTTTGGGGTGCTGGTGTAGTAGGGGGCATGGTGGTGCTGGTGCAGGTGCTGCTCTGGGGTGTTGTTTGAGGTGCTGGTGAAGGTGTAGGCGCATTTTTGCCAGATTGATGGCTGCATGCAGTTTGGGGCACTGTTGCAGGTGCTGTTTTTTTGGGGTGCTGGTGACGTTGTGGACGCAATTTTTGGAGATTGCCGGCGGGTGCTAGGGACATGCAGTTTGGGGCTGTGTCAGGTGCTGTTTTGGGTTGCTGTTTGAGGTGCTGCTGACCGCTTATTTCCCAGACAATTGAAAGCCATAGGGGTTCTATCAGAAGGCGCGGCTTTGGGGCTGTTCGGTTGTGAGGTGCTGGCGCAGGTGCTGCGTTGGGGTGCTGGTGGGGCTGCTGTTTTGAGGGCGGGCGCTGTTTGGGGTATCGCGGTTGTGGCAATCATCATTATGCTGCCCGCAGCACCATGATGCTGTCAACTCAATCGGTTCGGACGTTGTTGCTGCCCTAACTGTGGCGCGTAGTGGTTCGTGGCTGGTGTGTCATCATGATGTTGTCAACCACGTCATGATGCTGCTGGAATCACTGCGATGCTGCGTTGTGGTTCGTGGGTGCGGTGGCGCCAGGATGCTGTCAAGATCAGGATGATGCTGAATTTCAATACGCGGTTGCAAGATGATTTGTGGCTGTGGTATCATCATTCGCCTGCCTCTACCATCACAATGATGCTGCATCATCATGATGCTGTCCGCATCATCATGATACTGTCCGCGTCATCATGATGCTGTCGAACTCGTCAGGACGTCGTCTCTGCTTTTTTTTCTGCCGAATATGTAACGCGGAATCGTTCGTGGCTGGTGTAGCATGATGCTGTCAACATCATCATTCTGCTTCTGCGCTCAGTAGGACGTTGGCTGCGCGTCTATTTAGCGCACCACGCTAAGTTGCTGTGGTATCATCATAATCCTGTCAACAGCATCATGATGCTGTCAACATCATCATGATGCTGTCAACATCATCATGATGCCGCGGGAACCATTCTGATGCTGCGTCATGGTTCGTGGCCGTGGTGTGCTATCTGGGGTCTATGCCGGTGTAATTATTTTGGTGTTGAAAAAGCTATGTTTCAAATGGTTGCAAAATGCATCTTTTAAGGAACCCTGACCAGAGGAAGACAACAAATAGAAGTTGCTAGTTTGAATGTTTGGCTTTCGGAATGGCCACCCAAAACAAAGTGTCTCTCGAAGTGCTTGTAGTGAACCCTCAGGGGTCTGGATCTGCCTTGGAAGGGTGAGGGGACCTCCCTCTGGAGGTGCCATGTGTTGGTTTGTGTTCAAAGGAAACTGCAGGGAAACCAAACCCTTTTTCGGGGCCCTGACGCGTCCTGTCCTTCTTTCACGCGCGGCGTGCAACCCGTTGCAACCCCCCCCACCCATTTGGCGCCTGCACCAACCAGTGCCACAAGGATGGACACCCGCCAAGCAATCATCCTGCCGGAGACAAACACGGCGGCACGGTTCAACCCAGACCTCTGGTCGCCATGGCGAAACGGCCAGCATGCACCCATTTTGGGGGCAGGTACCCCACCCCATTCAAAACGACTTGGGTTTCCCCTGCTCGAAGAAGTAAGACACACCGAGCCTCGGGAGGCCCGCGCAGCTAAAGTGGGTTCCCCCTGTCCCTCCCAGGTACCCAACGAACCTCACGAACCTCGCGCCTGCCAGAAAGCTAAAAACTCGGTCGTGAAAGCCTCCGCGTCAATCGACCAAAAGGCCTCGGCCGTCGGCATACGGTGCGAGAGGCTCGACCAAATGCGGCCAATGGATCTGGAGATAGAATTAATCCCCTTGGAGTTGCCTTGACCAGCCCACTGGATCCCAAGCAAGCAATCTTTCCGTTGGCCTCTGGGGTGTTCCCTAGTTTAACTACTATACAGGGAAAGGAATTCGCTGTGTGAGAGTGGAAAGTAACAAGAAGACTTAAAGGTTCATCTTCGAGAACCTTGACTACAAATAGACAACGGGAAAGCCCGCAGAGTCAATTCAATATTGGGCAGGCGAGTGGTTGGATTACTCCCACATTCCGCACCGAGAACAAGCAAGATGAATGGGGATCCAGAACGGATACATCAATTGAACATGTGGCTGTGGGTCAAAACCAATGGTACCATTTTTGGGGTAGGTGCACCACCCATTTTAGTCTATTTTAGTGGGGATTGGGATGTTCAATGGGGGCACGGGACTTTGACCCACAACCATGTGGCTATTCCAGGGTCTCGAACATTGATTGACTCAATCGAGCGACCCGAATCGATGGAAGCAATCGTCAATCCTCTCTGCTGCTTCTTGAATGCCGAGACGCAGGGCATGGAACGCTAAACAACACGGTATCGAATCAATAGATCTTGCCTTCAAGTTCGAGCCAAATGCCGCGGGTATAGTCAGCTGATCCACATGGATCTGTCTCGACAAAAAAACTCTTGACACACACACACACACGCCTCGCTCAGAGTGCGTGCCGGCTTGGGATTTGTTGAACCCACAAAGAATCAAGCCCGGTCTCAAAAACCGGGGGTGAGGTGACCTCTGATGAGTTGGTTACAACCTCCCGCTGGTGAACAGCGGAGCTCAGCCAACCCGCTGTGTAGGGTTTTCTTGCTCACCGGAGCCTGGACCATCCATTGCTCTTGGGCTGAAGGATTGTCCCTGGTAAACCTCTGTCTCCCACAATGGGCACTCAATGGTGTTCCTTTCTACACATGTGCCTGCTTGTCAAGGGCAGGAACCCTGCTGGGGGCGCATAAAGTAAAGAAAAAACACAGAGAAACCACACCGTTGTAAGAATACAGCTAGTTGTCTGAAAAAAGGGCGAGCCATCCATATTGATTCAAAGCATTCACGTGCCAAGGGAGGGTCGAAAGGCGCTGGTCTTAAATAGTCACCAAGGGGCAATGGCCTTTCTTTGCTGCTCTGAATCAGCATCTGACTTCCATTCTTGATCTGGGCTTCGTGATCCAAACACAACGAAGTAAGGCAAAGCGGAATGAGACCACAGAGAGGCTTGAACTTTCGCACCTGTGGGTTTTGCTTCCCACTCACGCCTTTGAAAGAGAGAATCTCCCTTGTTGGTGTTGATTTTACAGGGGGCCCACCCTTGGCTCAAAAACAACGGGAACTGGGTGTTTCAGCCGGGGGGGCGGCATGCGACCCAATGTTTTGCAGCTGCTGCTCCACTTTCCTTCGCGAGGTGAGACATGCGAAATATGACGTGCGCCGAAGAGAGCGAACTGGCGGGCCGCGGCCTGTGAGCTGCAACGGATTTCATGGGCCCAAGGGTCGCATCTTGGTTGACCTTGGAAGGGGAGCAAAAGTTGAAACATTTTAGCACTTCAGTGGTTGGATTTCAACCACTAAACCACAATACGCAAAAATGCAAGATGTTTCCCAACAACAACCATGCCATATTCATAGGACCCTAAACATAGGGCGCTGGATCTCCACGAGGATTTGGACCTGGGGTTCTAAGATGCTGTGGACTTTCCTCGAGAAGATGTTTCTTCAAACCGCCCCAAGGGCCCAAGTGGGAGGGCTACATACGGCGGAGTGCAGCAAAAGGATGGGACACCTTTCAGCGAGCCAAAGTGCGCTATCGCCGGGAAAAAGGTGCCCCAAAAAAAGGGCCCGAACAAAATGCGCGATTTAGAGGAACCGCCTGCCAGAAAAGAAAAAAAAAAAACAAGGCGCTCATCTGCCGGGAGTGCACGCTGAGAGGTTCCCAGACAAAAAAACGGGCCCAGATTTTTATGACTTTAGCCCCTAGGAAGGCAAAGGTTTGTCCAAAGGACCCTCTCACTTGCCCAAAGGACCCGGGGAAATGGAAAAACTCTTTCGGGGCCACGACTCAAAAAGCACCAAGTTGTGAAACTCCAGGGGTTTTTATTCCTTGTCCGTTCTTTTCAACCAAAACTTTTCAAAAGCCGGATCTGTTTCTGGGTTTTGGATGGTTTCCTGAAAAGATTCGGATCCCTGGGTTCAGAACGGAATTGGAAGGTACCCCTAGGAACTCAAACCCAGGTGGTGGGAGCTAAAGCGGCCCTTGGGCCCAACTCGGCGCACTGCAATAGCGTAAAAAATGCCATATGTTTCGTCTACGTTGCAGAAATCGTATGGCCGTGGTCTTAAAAATAAGGGACCCCCCCTCAAAAAGAGAGAGAAAACAAACGGGAAAAAAAGGAAAGATGAAAGGCGGCCGTTTGTTTTCCTTCAATCTGGCCCCAAACGGGTATCCGGCAATGACATCACACACATATGCTTGGAGACATTCGAAACTGGGGATCCAGACTTTCAGCCACGGGCCATGGCTGCAGAAATAAAACACAACACGAATCTGTCCTTCCAACGCTCAACCCCCAACTTTTCGTTCATCATGTCAGCCAACAGACGTCTCCCACGGTCAACAAAACCGCTGACGCGCTCGCGCGGGGCCGTCCCCGCAGCCGCCTTCCGCCTGCGGCGGTCACAGCGCCGCGGCGCCCAGGCCGACGAAGCTGAAGACGCTGAGCCACAGCAGCAGCTGACCGCGGTCCACCTGCGCGCGACAAAGGACGTGAAGGTGGACCTACATCCGAAGGACGAGGTGGAGCTTTGGCTTCTCAGCACATGAGCCATTGGTTGACGCTGGAAGCGGAGCAAAAAACATAATTTTTAGCAGGTAAGTGGTGGGATTTCAACCACTAAAACACAACAAGCAAAAATGTGAAATGTTTCCCAACAACAGCCATGATCTGGGTGAACTATAATATTTCAGCAGCCTGAAACTTGCGGTGCTTAGGGGGTGATTCTTGGGGTGAATTCAGTCGTGTGAGGTCGCTATAATTCACCCAGAGCCATGATGACATTGAGTTTGTTTCTCAACACAAACATGGGGAAATCAGAGAGTCGCTCTTGTTGGCGCGTGAAAATTAGTGAGTCCCCCATGTCCCTCCCACATGGACCATAGACAGGACATTTGCTGCGGTGTGCAATTGTTGTTTCATCCGGCCAAGTCTAAAATATATAACATGTTCAAATGTTAAGACATGTGGTGTAAGACATGTGATAAAACGTTGCTTCATCCAGCCAAGTCCAAACCTTCAACCTGTTCTGAGACCCCGTTTTGGTTTTTCCCCATTGTGGCATTCTGGCGATCTAAGCGCTGCGCCATGAGCTCACAGAGCTCGCCGGGAGACCCCAGGGTTTCGATTCACCGCCGAACTGAGTCACTTGCTCAAAACCCGGTATGAAACTGGTCGTAATCCCAGAACCATGCTTCAAGAATTTAGAAGCCGGAAATCCGCAGCTATTTCTGGCAAGATCGTCCACTAACCTTCATCTACCCGAATCGGTTTTGAGCACGTGACTCAACTGGTGATTTGCCGATGCTGGACACGAGATCTAGACTAGACCATCCTCTGCCAGCTGCCTACTGGTGCAAACTGAGTGATTCATAGCCTCCAGACCCCAGAATTCCGCCTCCTTGGTGCCCTGGAACCCGCCCTCCACCGCCAGCAGCATCTTCGCCTCTGTGCCGCTGGGACGTGAGAACCGCTACATGATGTGTATATACATATACACACACCATATATATATATATATATATATATTGTAGAGATATTATATGTATCTGTATGCATGTATGAATATATATATATATATACTTTGTGGGTGTGTCTGTTTAGGGGGTTTTGGCTTTCTGGTGGTTGTAAAGGGAACCAAAAGGACACCCGAAGCCATTTTGGGGGGGGAAACGCCGAAAGCCCGGCCTTGAGCTGCGCCCAGAGATCATCAACTTGGCTTTGGAAGTGCAGGACCGATGCCTCCCGATGCGCTGCATCCGGCGCGGGGTGCAGGGGCAGGTTGGCGGGTTGGTGGGTTGGTGGGTTGGTGGGTTGGTGGGTTGGGGGGTTGGTGGGTTGGTGGGTTGGTGGGTTGGTGGGTTGGTGGGTTGGTGGGTTGATGGGTTGGTGGGTTGGTGGGTTGGTGGGTTGGTGGGTTGGTGGTTTGGTGGGTTGGTGGGTTGGTGTGCAGGGACGGTTTGGGGAGGCTGGGCGGGGGGGGTGAGGCGGAGGCTTTAGGGGGAGATCTTGGGAGGGCTTTTGGTTCGCAAGAAGAGATGTGAATGAACTTTGTGGTTGGTTATGCGACTCAATAGCGGTTGGTTGAATCCAATACCTACGCTGCATGATATGGTCAAAAGAGCGTGATAAGTGACATGACTGTCCCATGCCAGCCACACGGATTGCGCTTGTGCCTTTTAAACACGTGTGAGTGGTAAGCAGCATCAAACTTTCGTCCGACTGAAGAGTGGTTGGTAAGCAGCAACACCAGCGACACCCGGGTGAGAAACCGATGAGGACAGGTAGCAGGAAGAGGGGGTGAAGGACAAGATTACTATCTTTGCCCAAGCCTTGCGTACGCCAAGAAGAATATGTTCAGATTCTGTTTCATATTTGGTCAGCCTTAAACATTAGCATCTTGTCTTGGAGGAGACCCCAATGGTGAGTCATTAAGGCCTTTCGACCCGCCAGCCAGCACCCGAGCGACCGCGCGACGCTGATCGCACCCCGTGCCTCCCATTGGGAGGAAAGGACGCGCTCCACGGCGGGCCTGGAATGGAGCCAAAAGTGCGGAGCCGTGGTCCCTTGGGAGCTTTGAGGAGTTCCCTGAACCTTGAGAGCTCTTGTAATCAGCACCAATCTGGCACCTTAAATCATTGACCGAAAGTCCAGGCTCAGATCAGTAGAGTTTAGATCAGGAGGGTGTCCAAACTCATTGACAACATATTTATGCAAATATATTGTCATTTACCTAAGACAAATATACATGTTTTCCTCAAGTCAATCATTATTTTCATACAGTAGGTGTCTAGCATCTTTTAGTTGAATCATCATCTTTTATAGCCATATTCGGTGTTGTACTCCTATCAAGCTCACTTTCCAGTACGATTCGAGCGTCACTCAATATATATATATATAGCTATTCGTCTCCGCCTCTTGTGTTGCTCCAGATTGTCCCAACGTTTCAACATCAGTGACCCCAGTCTGACTTAACAAATTGGTTTGACTGCGCGAATCGGACCTACTGTTCTGTAGTGTTGCTGCTTCCTGACCAAAAATTCAGGAGATACGGGACACTCGTTTTACTTGAGCAAAATGAGAAAGTTCGAGATTTTGCGAGATTTTTTGAGATAGATTTTCGGGGTTCCCAAAATTGACACTGCCTTTAAAGTACTATTGTATTATATTAGTCCCGAGATTTTTTGAGATAAAAATATATATTTTGAGATTGCAAAAACAAATGCCAACAAATGCAGTTTTTGATATGTTTTGAGACTTTTTGAGATAGCTTTTCGGGGCTAACCAAGTTTCTCCTGCCTTTTACCTGCCTTTAAAGTAGTGTTGTGGTCCAGACGTCAATGGAGGGCCCAATGATGCGGAGGATCCTTTTTAGAGGAGTTGTTTGATAAAGCCCTCAAATCAACATTAGGGCGGGGTGAAATCGACCGAACAGAATAACGACCTGGGACAAACATAACCCCAGGTGGTATCCCCAACAGCAACTCTTCCGGAACCCTTCCAGAACTCTTCCAAAACCCTTCAGAACCGTTTCTTTCAGCTGCTCCCGACTACTCTGGGACTTATTTGGGAAGAGGGTTTTCGAGACCCCTGCCAGGGTGGCCCATGCATGTCTTGACTATAGCATGCTGGTTCAATGGGAATCCAGCCACCAACGTGTCAGTCGCTTTTGAAGGACGTCCCAAAAGTGACATCCTCAAGATTGCCCCGACCAAAATGGTCGCTTAGACAACCAGAAAATGCTGAGACCCCTCAAAATGGCCACACAAAGCCAAGGACCCCAGCCAAAACCCAACGACTCCTCCCAGTCCCCCCCCCAAAACAAAACATACAAAAACACTTCCCGGGCGCACGAAGGGAGCGAGGCGTTGCCTCAGCACTCGAAGCAGAACCCTCTGAGGAATCAAAGTGAAACAGCTGGGGGTTCCATTTTGGGCCTTATTTGTGAGCCACACCCATGTCTCAAAATAGCGGGATCCCACAGAAGGCGGGATTCTTTTGTTTTGGCGTCCGACTCTTTCAAATACTGCTTCATTACCCTGACACATAACATCGGGGATTGGGGAAGAACCGAAAGGGCCACCTAGTGAATTGAGTCAGGCAATTAAAAGCGCCAGAAATTGTGGTTGAACTTCCCTGTTTCGGTGATGCTCTTTGGGTGTCACGTTGGATTCTCAATTGCAGCGAATTGATGTACAGAAAAACCGCCTGCTGAACTTGCGACAATTCGTTCCGGCAACAAAAATGGCGGGAAAGCGCATGTCGCACATGATACACGGGAGAAGAACTCGTTGAGGAAGCGCTCCAGTGGCATCACAGTGGTCAATTCCCACCCGTGAACCTCCAGCTAACGATCTGTGCGAGAGATCACAAAGGAGCCAAGCCAAGCCACGCATTCAAAGACTTGCTGACGTGCTGCACCACTAAACGAGAAGCTCCACTGAAACAAGCGAAGCGTGGGGCCGGGGGAAACGCCCTGTGGACACCCCGGATTCACAAACCCCTGGTTGAATAATAGGGGGGTGTCCCCTTTTAGTGGTGATTCATCACTTTTGGAGGGAACACCCCCCGAATAATGGGACGGGTTTATGAATCCTGGGTTAACATAACCCAATGTTTCCTAGAATATCCACACTGCGTGAAGGTTCAATTCCGTACCCCTGTGCAACCCAGCCGAAAAAAGATTCATCAGATGCCTCCAAACTAGCAACCCCCAAACGCTCGGTTTCTCTTTGGCGCTGTAGAACAACCGTCCCTTAAAGAGGGCGCCTGTTTGCCAGGTTCAAAATGGGAAGATGCCATTTATCCGTAGTGTGGTTATGGTCAGAGAAACGGCCATCTGGCGCTTGGGGCTCCGGTGCCTTGAACCCTCAAAGTGCAAGTGGAGAGATCGCCTGGCGCTTTGGATGGGGAACCATCGCCCATGAGACTCCCGACGTTTCGCCAGGTCGATGGCGGCGCCCTGCAACGCGCGCCCCAGGAGCACGATGGGTCTGGTAAGTCGGCTTTGATTTTGGCCTTTGAACAGACCAAGTTGGCCAAATGTTCCTCCTAAACGACGGCCAAGCCTCAGGTGAAAACGAAGGGTTGGTGTGGGTGGCTAAACTCCTGGAACTTTTCGGGCAGATGGTCAAACCAAATGGGCAACAAACGGCCCTTGGAACAAACGACGTTTACAACCCACCAGGGATCTTGCGGGGAACCCTGGCCCATCGCCTGTGCACTGGCCGCCGGCAGGAGGCCACCTTGAAACCGAGGCCTGGCGGAGATTGGACCCAAATGCATAGTCCAAATGTATTATACATGTGTAGGATTATGTATGTGCATAAGATGTACGCATTATATTCATACACACACATATACACAAAGAGGCACTGAGACAAAGAGAGAGAGAGAGAGAGAGAGACAGAGAGAGAGAGAGTGTGAACGAGAGAGAGAGAGAGAGATGCTGCATGAAAAACAACATGTTTCAAATGGTTGCAAAATGGAGATCTTTTAAGGATCCATGAAAAAGTTTTTTTTGGTGGGTTTAGTGGACAACCCAACTTGATTTCCCAAAAGGTCAAAGTCGAAAGATCTGATGAGGGCCCGTGGACTCAAAACAAAACAGGCAAAGGCGTGGCTCCGAGACTCAAGAGAAACCTGAGTCGGGTGATCCAAGTGATCTATCCGCCAAAACCAGATGGAATTTGGGTTGGTTCCTTGAAAACAAGCAATCCTTAAATAACCACACAGGGCTACACTTGGTCAGTTTTATACTCTTTTTTTGGAGAGGATCTTGGGCAATGTGTTGGGATGCATCGTTTAAGGAACCCAAGATGCATCCAGTGTCCCTGAATCCAATTGGCTTTGACACACGGCCAGTCGGCCCATCAAGTGTTACCTGAAACTCTTGCCGACGAACCCTGGTTCTCCAACGAAAAGCTTCAGAACTGAGGAGGGATGATTGAACCTAATTCTGGCAAGGGGACCGTCCCATATCTTTGCCTTGCTGGTTCTCGCTGGGTCGTTGCAAGGGTCTTAGGAACGAACTGGAAGGAAATGACCTCGAGGGAAACCGGCAGTTGCCTAGCTCAGTTCGGAGTCATTCCAACTCATTCCAATCTAAGAATCAGGTGCTTTACGTCGTGGGGTGCGGGGTGCTGTTTGAAGGGGCCTTTTTTGAGGGTGCTCCTTTTCGTTTGGTTTTAAGGAGACTCCAAAAGGAACACCCTCCATTTGGGGGGTACCCTAAAACAGACCCACCCAGACACAAGTCGCCCCCATTGGTTCATCTTTGGTCATTCTCCCAACGGATCCCGGACAAAAATGACAGGCCCCTTTGGAAGGTTAAAGGGCAAAAAACCGTTTCTGACCGACCCTCACCCGTCAAAATAATGACCAGAAGGGCCCTCCGTCCATTTGAGTCTCTCTTTTTGTCGTGCACCCCCAAAATGGCACTTGTCCTTTTGTTCTTTCCTTTAAAAACCACCAAAACTGGGAACCCTCCCAAAACAAAAACGACCGACCCATTGCACCCGCTCGCCCATTTAGGCGCATCTTCTTCTTTTCCCGCGCCTTCTCCGCCCAAAAAAAACCGACCGACCGACCAACCCCCGTCACCCAGGCGCCCGCCGCCGCCAGCCCGCCGCCCGCCCTCAGCCGCCTGCCGGTGGAGGCGAGGAACTCCGTCAGCAGCGTGGCGGCGGGATCCCGCTGGAAGAGGTCCGCCCGCAGCTCCGGGTGCGCCTCCGAGACCCCAAACCGATCCACGCAACGAGAAATTTCGCGGGTGAACCCGTCCCTTCAGAAAAAAAAGGTGGAGCAGTGGAGCCCATCTTTTGCATTTGTATTTTTGAAGATGGGTCCATCTATTTGTTGTTCTGTTTGGATGTGTTTTGATTTGTTGTTGTTGTTTTGAAGATGGCGTTTACCCAAACCAGCCCGAAGGGTAAATGGGAGAACCACTACGTAGTCACTGTTTGAAGGGTGTATAACCACTTCCCCCGAGGAACAGCGAACTATAATATATACATACATCTATGTATATATATATATATATCACTTTGTATGCTGGCGTTTATAGGTGGGGGTGCAAAAAACCGGCGACCTGAGGTACTTGGATGTTCCAACCTATGTCAGCTACGTTACAACCATGGGAATCAGTCTCAAACTTCGGTTGTCCCACCTTGGCTAAAAGCCAGGTTCAGCATCCAAGTGGCTGGATGGCTTCTAAGCATTTGAAGCTTACCAGCAAGGAAGGCACGAGATCGTCCTCCCATGTACTGGTTCTCAATACCAGTTCTCAATACGTGACCTGAATTGTTTGTATTTGTATCACCCCGTGTTTGAACGTGTTAGGGAGACTGCAGGCAGGGAATGTCCTACGGTAGAAACGGAATCAGCGGAAGGGAGATTCCCACAAAAGGAACCAAGATGGTTCAGTTTGGGTAATCTCATCATTCTCTACCGGCAAGGACAGTTGTCTCCTGCGAACCAACGGTCAGGTCGTTGTGTTTGGCAACGGAGAACAGGCAGGCCTTTGGATCACAGGTCTACTAGAAACCAAATCAAAGCTGAGTTTCAGGCCCCACTTGCTTCCGGGCCTCCCTTCCAAAAGGTGGGTGAATGTCTGCCGGCACTGGCTTGCACTCAAAGGATTGGGTTACAGGTAACACCTGACTCACTCTGCATTGGTCCAACTGACCCACTGCAAACAGACTATTTGTTGTGTTAGTGCGGGAAACAAACCTTCAGGAGCAACTAAAGGTTTGCAGGTCGAACCAAAGAGCGAGCAAAAGATTCTATCCAATCCTTCTCTGCATCCCCGGCCTTGAGAAGGACAGGGTTGAACCTCGGTTTCGTCAGCTTTTCACAGCCTGCCCATGTCTTCCAGGCAAAGCGGTTTGCTCTTTGGAAAGGCACCGACTGGGAATGGCCTTGATGGTGAAATATGGGTGTGACACTGTTTATTGGCGCCCCTTTGGTGGACATCATTTCGTTGGGGATTCATGTCCACCAACCACTTTGAGGTGGATACCTGTTAAGTATCATTGCCATGTCGTAAAATAGCTGGGTTGCCCTTTTGACTCAGGCAAAACGCTACTGTCTTTATTGGTTGGTGGGGAATCGAAGGTCGAACCACCCAACAACCAGAAATCGTGGGTTTGCATTTGTTGACCATAACGCGGGCGGAATAGTCAAAAGCGGAAAGCCTACAAAAAGCTTGCGTCTGAGCCTGCAAACACTCACTTCTAAACTGTTTCTGACAGCTGACTACCAAACGCGGGGTTGCCAAATTCATGGCCTGTTGCAGCCTGGTGCCGCCCTCCACCGTTTAGAGGGAGTATGACAAGACCCCAAGCGGCAACTAAGGTCTCTTCATGAGACATGTTTGGGGAGACATCCTGTAAATCGCTTCAGGTCGCAAGCAATGGTGCGCCTGGGGAAATACGCCCAGAAGCAGATTGGGCCAAACATGGCGCCGACATGTTTCAAGGCAACCAACATTTGGACAACATGAGACTAACACAAGCAAGCATGAACAAACAAGTAACACAAGCCAGCATTGTCTTGACACATTTCATGGAGCTGCAAGTCGCATATGGCTGTGGCTCAAAAAACCGGTACCAAAATGGAATGGCAAGTGAAAACATGGACCAAAACCTGCGGTTTGCCCCTGCTGTTGAATTTTGAGCCACACCCATATTATATGAGACCTTCTGGTAACTCCAAGTTCTTATTTCTCCCGAAGCACCTCAACCACCTGCGGACCTCAAGTTCCAACTTCTCTGGAGGTGGGCAACCCCTCGAGGCAACCCCATATTGACCTCAACCACCTCCAAGACCTCTCGACTCTCCGACTCACTCTACGCGATGCATGTCGAGTCCCCGTCCAGCTGGTGAAGGACCGAACCTCGGCAAACACGCTGGGGCTGGTCCTTTTGCCTCGCGGATTGATCCGAAACGGCCTAACTCGGCTGTGCTCACAGCCCCTGCTCTGAAAGTTCAAGTTGTAGTGGGTCAAATGCACACCCACCAAACCCTAAGAACCTAAAAGCTCAAACAGATGGTTGGGAACCACCAAATTGCCTGCTCGTTTCGAGGTAGCTTTTTTGCTTTTCGGGGCCCGCTGACTTTGGACACGTCCCAAAAGTCGAAAGTTCGAGCGAGTCATCGGCATGCCTCCCGGGAATCCGACACTCACAAGCAGGCGAGGGGAAAAAATGAGCCGGAGAGGAGCCAAAGGAAGCACAACTCCAAGTGGGTGCCCTCACAAAATGATTTAGGGTGGTTTGGGGTTTGGGGGTTCAGGGTTGCCTAGGTTGGTTTAGGGCGGTTTCTAGTAGAGGGTTAGATTCGATGGAGTTTTGGCTTAGGGCTGGTCCAGGGAGGTTTGCGGATGCTTTAGGGTTGGTTTGGGGCTGTTAGGATTGGTTTAGGGCGGGTTCAGATGGAGTTTGGGTTGGTTGGGTTGGTTGAGTTGAGGAGAAAGGCGGGTTTAGTGCAGTTTCAGGTGCTTAGGGCGTGGGCTTAGGTTGGGTTTAGGGTTCAAAGTACGTCAAGGCAGGTTGAAGGTATGTTTAGGGTAGGTTTGGGGTAGGTGTGGCGCGCTTTTAAGGTGAGACCAGAGTGGGTTGAAGGTGGGTTTAGGATTGGTTTAGTGTGGGCTTGGGTAGGTTTGGGGTGGGTTTAGGGTAGGTCTAAGTTGGGTCGGGGCAGCTGTGGGGTAGGTGGTTGTGTGACTGGACAACAATTCCCAATCCGGCAAGAAAACAATCCGCGCCCCCTTAAAATTGTGCTTTGTTTGGTTTCCTGGGAAAGCCATCCGAAAAAGGCCACCCCCCTGGTAAAAGCTTCCTTCCCGCCGTCGAGCCGGCGTCGAGCCCCCGGCCGTCTCCGGGGACGAGGGCAGCAGCCGCTCCAACTTGTCCAGCGCGTGGAAGGTGAAGCGGTCGATCACCGCCTCAGCTGTGAGACCGCGAGACCGCCAGACCGCGAGGGAGCCCTGGACGCGGGACGCGCTGGACGCGCTCGGCAGGTCGTTTGGGGGCCATGGGTCGGGGGGGGGGAGCAGCCAACATGCAGGTTAAAATCGATTTGCAGCTGGTCAAAAAAACCCTGGGCTCAGGCCTTCTCTTGCCGCAACTCTAGGCCAAACCCTCTCCCGCATGCTTGGTCAAGGTGAAATTGGTATGTGCAATGTTTGTTGCTTAGATATCCAGTTGGCTTCCCTGGGTCTTCTTTGAACAAATATTGCCCTGGCAAGAAGTGCTAAGGCTCCATCCACCCCGAGCTCTGGATCGATGTGGTGGCTGTAGCTGTTCTCCTCTTTCGAGAGTTGCCAGCAACTCGAATGCAAAATCACGTGCTATGCAGTATTTTAATGGGTAAGGTTTCACGAGAAGAATGAGACCTTTGGACCATACGCCTTCAGGGGTGCCCCCAAAACGGAGTCAAAGAGAATGCGAGGTGCAATTGAAACAAGTCCGAAACAGGCTTGGTGTCATATCTCTGCTTCGGGGTTTGGTCGCGAGGCTTGCGGGAAGGAATTTTGAAGCTGGCGACAAGCCACGGTGATCAATGTTGCAAGTGCACCAACCATACTCAACCAGTGAACTTCGGAAACCCAGCCAGCTGCCGGTTTCTAACTCCATCGAGATGACAACGCACTCAGGCTCCTTCTTGCCGCTGCTACCGAAAGCCAAGATGTTCGGCGAGTAGAACCTTGCTAGGGCAGAGGAACTAACGCCGCGTCATCCACGGCTTTTCCGGTTTGGGACGCATGATTTGGGACATTAGAAAAATACAGGCTGATGGGCCGAAGCAAGACAAGAGCCGAGCAAACCCGTCATCTGTGAGGATGCCTCTTTTCTGAAAACCCATGTAGTTATTGTCAAAATTTCGGGCTACCCCCCAACCCCCCATCCCCCCGGCCCCTTCCCCCAAGTGCCCAGCACCACCCCCCCCCCCCCGCCCAAGCTGCGCGCACATGAGCGTCTTTGGGATGCGCCCCATGGCTGAGTGTGGGATAGCTCCAGACTGCGAATTCGCCCAGCCAGACGTTGACGTCTCACTGGTAGTTACAATTTGGCTGTGGCTCAAAAAAAACAGTACCAAAATGGATCCCTGGCAAGTGGAAACATGGACCAAAACCTGCGTAACCCCTCCTGGTTAATTTTGATCCACACCCATTTGGCAAGGGGCCCAACTTCAACCAGAGCGAGAAAGAAAGGAGCCGCGACTCGACCCACAATCCAACCGGGGTCAAAAGCTGTTAGCTTCATGATATTTTACTTTCTTCGCTCGGCAGACCATGTGGCGGAGCACGTTGTCTTTGGTGGCCATGCAGGGCTTGCGAGAACAACCATCCGAGCGCTCCAACTCTCGATACTTACTTTGGCGCGCGCGCGCCTCGCAGGGTGAGCCACAGCTTTTCAGATCCCCAGTGTGGCTGGCGTCGGGAAAGGTGTGCTGCGCGCAACGGAGCAGCCCGGCGCCCCAGAGCGCACGCAAACTCGACCGCTTGGCAGACTGCTGCGCGACCCGCTGTGCCCTTCGGGTCGATCTTTGCCGCCTCAGGTTCCTTCTCAGAAGTCTGCCGACTCGTCGCCCAACCAATCCCAAGCCCCAGCCCCTCCCCAACCACCCCCCCTCTCAACCCCCGCACCTCCACCAACCCTCCACCCCCCAACAGCCCCAACAAACCCGGTGCTCCGAGGCCGGTGCTGGTTTTGCAGCGTTGCCGCTTGGCACGTGTCGCTGACCCAAAAGATCTGCTTGTAGCGGCGCCTGACCCAAAAACGCGAAGCCTGCAAACCGAGGGAAACAAAATCCTCACCCAAACCTCTGGCCAGCGGAATTAAAGGGCTCCCCTTGTTGGTAGTTGATTTGAAGGGAACCGCTGGAAGTCTGGCCTAAAGTGGGGGAATCTCAAGGGGGGCGATGTGCGTTCTCCAATTTGTGATTGTTAGGTGAATTGTTAGAAAAATGGCTGGGTTCTGCTGAGCGGTCCTCTCAACACCAGGAGTTTGGCTGTAGGACACCCCCAAACGCTCAGAAAGGTACCAGCGCGTAGGCATTAGGCGCGCCACTCTCTGAAACAAGTGCGCAAGCTATCTGGGTGCCGTGATACCCACATCGCAATCGCTCCGGCAATTGCACTTGACAAGCAACTGCACTCCATCAACTTCATCCCACACCGCAGGCACCGCAGGCAGCAAGAGATGCGGAGTTCTCTCACTTGATTTTAACCCGCAGGGCGCTTCAGAAGAGTGTCTGCGCCTGAATCTTGGCCCCTTTTGGGGCAAGCAAAGGGCCTCCTAAGCATGGAACAGCGCGGTCCTGGATATAGAATGCTTACCCTCCCCAGAAATAAACATGTCCTGGAAGAGCATTTCCTGAAACAAAGGCATCTTTAAGGTTCCATATTTGCTCTTGGGAGGGTACCTCAATGGTTGCCTGGGTTGTTTTGGATCCTCGGGGTACCTCGAAACCCGACTTCCTCAGACCCGAACTGCTGCTGCATCTGCTTAAAGGCGTCGGCGATGTCATTGGAGGTGAGCTCTTCCCAGTCCTCCAAACTTGAGATGAGAGCTCTTTTGGTATGGTTGTAGAGCACAAACCAAAAACCAGCCTTTCGAGAAAACCCATATCGGGGGGGAAACCTCGGAAACCCAACATGTTGATTCTGTTGAGTGTGTTTCGTCTTGATCTTTGAACCTACTGTGCCATGTGCAACAATTATGCATATACACAGCACCATTTCAGCCGTGCGCGAACAGGCATGCACCTGTTTCACATTGAAGAACAATGCAGCACAATGTTTGCACGATCGCCACCCTCAAGGGCAAATACTGAGAGCGTTGCCTTTGGGACTGACCCGCAACGGGTTTTGCAAAACACACGGCTGGCATCTGAGCGAATCCGGTGGTTTTAGTAGGCTTGTTCGTAAGCCGATGGAATGGCGCAAGCGAATTTATTTGGACAGTCTGTCAAGGCGACGGAACCGCCCAAGGATCTGGGAGGGTCCCCATAGATGCGTAATTGCAATGCTGGGTGAATCTGAATGGAGATGATGAGGGTATTCCAATTTCTTCCACTTCACTGAGAAAAGCAAGTGGTGCTTTCCAGCCCGCCATAAACCATCCCAAGACCCCCCCACCACAAGAAAAGAACAGCTTAAAAATAGAAATTTCTGCGATGCCAATGTGGTTGACTCTCATTTTCATGACAGCTTTATACCACGCAACCCTTGCTATCTGGGAAAAAAGTGGCCCTGAAACCGAAATTCCCACAACCACGGCACATAGGGCTCGCCTCTCGACACCCCTGCTTGGGTAAGTAATGCGTCTATCTTTGAGACTGCAGGGTTTGATATGCGAGGGCAGGCCAGGAAATCAGACTGCGATGGACACCCGCATGGCGACGTTTTTGCCCATGAGGTTTCCCATAGACATGAACATTCCCCCGACCTAATGAGATTACAAAAACGGGGCACCACCAAAATTATGGTTTTCCTATTGGTTTCCCTTACCAAAGTAAAAAAAAAAAAAAACAGCAAAAATCGCACCTATTCGTCTCAAGGGGAAGCCCTATGCGCTTCTGCCACGGTCCGCCAAATTCCGAGCATTTGGACTTGGCAGTGTCATTCAACACCAGGGCACTGCAGGATAAAGCCAGGCTCTTGCAGGGGTCCCTAGACTTGCCCTCTAAATGAGTTGAACCATACTCTTCCCCGAATTTGTTTCCTCTTGGTGGCGTGATGTTTGGGAGGGCAATATGGGCAATGTGGGTGTGTGCTTGTGCAAGAGACCCGTTTTAGGGTTGACTCAAAGGGACACCATTTACTAAACATAGTCATGAAAGGTGCAACGCAGCAAGGAGAGAAGAATCTCCGGCTGAAAACAAGTTGGAACTCTCTGTTTGAGTGGGTCTTCCCCGCAGAATCGAACCTTTTTGCAGGTTGTTTAATGGCAAACTCCGCAGATTCCCAAGAAACGATACACTGTTGGAGGTGAACAGAGGAAACATCCACCCGATTTTCCACCAAACACCTTTCTGGAAGACCAGCTGTAAACTTGTGGCCTGGAACTTGATGAATTCTTCGCCGGAATGGCCGGTGATGAAGATGAAAATGTTGCCTCGCAGCATTTCATCTAGTGCGATGAGGCGTTAACCTCTGTGATGTGTCTAGGAGACATGGGAACAAATTCCAGCTCGTCCCCCTGGCTGTTGTGAGATTCGCTTTAAGGCTCGTCCCCCAATGTCCTTCCCAAATGGACGATTTCGAGCGAACTTCGTGCAAGAGGGATCACATCAGACGCACCTCATTTCGAATGAGAGGGCAATTCTGTTGGCTGGTGGAATACGTGCGGCTCTAATCTTCGCCCCCTTGGATCCCCTTGGAAGAGTAGCACTCGCCTGTATTCTTTACAGACCTAAGACTGATTGTGGAAAGGAAGTTGTACCAGGACGGTTGCCTTAGATGGGTTCGCCTCCAAACAAATGGGGACCCCCAAGCATGGCTGGTTTCCTTCTGTTCGTTTCTCTTGAAGCCTCTTTAGGAGGCCGCCTCCAGCAAAAAAACTCTCAACTTTTGGAGGGGCCCAGCGGACCATGTCAAGCATCCAGAAGCAGGCCGTGTGAGAGAGTGCTTTTGGGCCAACAGAATGTAAGGTAAGCCTAATTGAGTCACAATCAAAACCCAAAACCCGGTATTAAAATGGGCGTAATCCCAGCACCATGTAAAGAATTAAGAAGGCGGCTGCATCTATTTCTGGCTGGGACTGCCCCTTACTACCCTTCATCTACCCGGGCTTTGATTGTGGCTTAAATGGGTTCTAACTCTAACAATGAGCTTTAAGCTGCACAAAATTGGATTGTGTTGTTGTTTTGTTTGTGAAGCTGGAAGCCTTTGAATAGAACCCATTCAACAGGCCCAACATGTTGCCATGCCCCACGCCCTCCCCCCTAAGAGCTTGGCTGGAGGCATCCGATAGCAGGCGCTTGTTCCGCGGCGTGCTTGGGGGATGCCGCCCTCGCATGCGAAAGCAACAACGCGTGTGGCGATTTTTCGAGGAAACGCCCATGTGCTCGCAGAATCAGCGAGGAAGCTCACAGTGGTTTGGAGGCTAAGGGAACGCCATCAAACAAGCAGGGGTCAAATCCCGCAAGGGATATCTATACTGTACACCATACACCAACAAAAACCAGGAAAATCCCAAAGTAAGCTTGGTATATTAGTATAAGCATGGTAGTAAACAATTAAACATATCTCCAAAAAATACGCCATCCCCAATGTTCATGTCAGGCGAAGCCGCGCTGTGCTCCCACGGCACCTGTCAGGAGTCGCAGGAAGTTCTCTACAGACACCTCGTCGCCACGGTAGTCCACCTGAAGCCCCCGTGCGAACCCCGAAATTCCAACGTGAGACTTGGCGGTGTTCCGACATGCCCCTATTCCAACCCAACATCACCGCTGAGCTCACCTGGCCAAAATGAACGAGGGTTTCTCAAAATGGATTTGGGAAAAGCCCCACTTTGGTTGGTGGTTAAAGTGTAACCAAAAGGAAACCAAACATTGCAGGGGATCCCTACAGGACAAAGCCCACTTAGTGACTTATTAACTGGGGATATCTACCAGGTACTTGTGGATGGACAAAATCGGCTGTGTCCAAAACGGCTGTAGGTCCAAAGCGGCCAGAGGTTGGAAAGCTGACTTGCTTGTTCTCAGGGGACGAGGGGATGAACCCAAACTGAACCATCACTTCTAGTTTCCTTGCCGAGTCATTCCCAAAACCCGTAGGAAATTCCCAAGAGCCAGTAAAACACCTGTCTGCTCGTGGCTCGTCCATTTAGAGGTATCCTTTTCGGCTCCAGTTCGTTTTCCAGTGCTTTTACTGCAACCTCCAAGGAGTGGCTGTGGCTTCCTTTTCCGGGACATTGAGGCGACGCCCTACGTCGTGCTGTACCTCTCACACTTCCTGAGTGGCCCAATAAAACGTCTGAGCTTTTGGTTGGCCGTGCAAACTAAACCCACGAAGTCCAAACCGTTTAGCCTCCAACCCCAAAACAAAGTCCAGGAACTCGCGTGTTTTTTTTTGAGGGCCCCATCCATTCTGAGCTACCCAGCCCAGGTGTGGAGGACTACCACTTGTAGAAAGGGGTACATGCTGCCTTACAAGCTTATTCAAAAAGCCATACCTCAAAAAAAAAAAAAAAAAACGGAAAGACATGCGTACCTCTCAAACTGGAAACTTTATCCGCGGTTCAAAGTAAACCAACAGGCTACCAAGCACATGAACAACAAACCAAGCCACACAGGCAAACCAGCCATACATGTATTGCGCCGATCGGCATGTCAGATCAGTGGCTTACAGAATACCAGGAACGAAGAGCCTTCCCCGACAACCTGCCAAATGAGAAGCCTTTATATATTCTTTGTAGCCACCCTCTAAAATCTGAGAAGGGTGTGTCTTCAAATAGGGCAATCCTCCCACATATGCCCGTGGGTCAAAGTCCCATATCCCCAGTGAACCTCCCAATCCCCAATAAAATAGGTTCTAAAATGGGTGGCGAATTCACCTACCCCAAAATGGGATCCAAAACGGTTTTGACCCGCAGCCATATGGTTTGTTTCCTTTTGGTTTCGCTTTGACAAAGGTCTAGCCCAAGACGGATCCCCAACAGCAGCAAGAATTGCCTACCGCCCCAACTGGCGGAACCCGAAACTCGGGCTCCCAATGACCGCCCAGCAAGTGAATTGACCCCAGAAGGCCGTCACTGGGAACCAAAAACAATAAAGAATCCATGTAAGTGATATTAAGTGATATATTTCCAGCATTTCACCCGTTTGGAGGGTAAGTGTAAATAATTATTATTGAATACATGGATTGTTTGATAGTGAAGCCGCTAATACAAACTAGGATTTGAGAATGATCAGGAATGCGATTCTGTTCCCCCAAACAAAACGTCCCTTTAAACAGCCCCAAAAAGGGTACCCTAAAAGACACACCCATGTCCTTTCTCGAATTTCTTGTGAACCCAGGCACTCTGTCGGTTCGCGCCTCCACCTCCGTTCCGTAGAGGTTCAGCTTGTGGTTTCTGAGCGAAGACTGGTTACGAAAAGCCGCAAGGAATTGTTTTGCCCCCGAATCCCGCCGAACAAATTTGGGAACACGCAGAAGGCGCATGGGGCCCTTCCAAATGGTTCTTTTCTGGTTTCCTTGGACGCCCTCTCCAAAAAAAACGATAAGTTTTGACAAGCAAACTGCCAAGAAGCATGATCGGAAGACTTGGGGACCCGCACCTTGATCCAAATTTGAACGTGGTTCCCTTACCGGACATGGGAGCCCACCCAGGTTTTGGGCACTGAACTCAAAAATTGAGTTCAAGCACCCACCCAACCCTTGAAAAAAAAGATACAGGCGCACCGCTGGGTGGGTTTGATTTTGCACCAGCCAGCTTTCTCATGCGTTGGGCTGCGACTCGCCTCTCGTTGAAGACCGTCCCGGGCTTGGCATTGCGAGAGTTGCACGGTACGTCCTGGCGGGTCACGGCCAAAGTTTCATACGAGCCACGGCAAAAATGACATGTTCCCCTTAGAGGGCATGAGAACCTATAATAAAACCCATAGTTTTGGGGAATCGGTGACTTCCCCCATGTCCCTTCCAAATGGACCATAGACTACCAGCAAATTTGACCAAACCTCACCCTCACTAAAACTTTCCCTTTTTGATTGGCTGCCTTACCACCCTATTGAGAAGCGTTTTTCGACCATGCCACAAAGTATGAACATACGGGGAATGAGTGTCCATCGGACCCTTTCGTGGAGGTCGGGGGATTGTGTCCACTAACCAGTTTTCAGGGTGACCCGACCCTGCTAAATCATGTAGTTCAGCTTCACTCCAACTGAACCCGGGGTTCAAATCCAAAGCCAACAATCCAAAGCCACCAATCCAAACCACCAACAAAGGATTACCTGACCGGAACGCTGCGGTGCACGGAAAATGATATGTCAGATTCTGTGTCATTTTTGGTAAACCCTATAAACAGCAGTGTTGGAGAAGACCCCCCCACAAAAGGATCCTCCTCTAAACATGTTTTTGGGACAGGTCGATCTGCAAGACGTTTTGGGACAAGGTGGGCATGCTCTCAAGAGGACACCCACAGTTGTAGGCAGGCCAGGTACCCAACAAGGTTGTTTAAGCAAGGAACACCCTGGCCCCCAGAATTCTGAGCCCTAGGAACACCCTGTGCGGTCTTCAGGTCCTCCGCCATCATCAGGATGATCTGCGAATCCGGGATGCCAAGGCGCTTCACCGTGTGGTAGAAGGACAGCGTCTCAGGCATGCGGATCCCAGGTCAGCTATACAGAAAACAACGTGGACCCCACTCACTGCTGGGTCTGATCCTCTGATCCCCCTGGCATAAAAGGGTATACAGAAAAGAAGATGCTTAGATTTTTTTGCATCCACAGTATCTCAGCTTTTTCCAGGTGCGGGTTTGCTTGACTGGGTTGAGCGTTCCTGGCCCAAGTTCTGAGCGACCATCAGCCCAATCTCAGGAGCAACATTTAAACCTCAGCATCGTCCGTATCTGGGGCCTCCAAAAGCATGTTGTGTCGGGTTGACATATGCACCAAAATCTGAACCCGGGTAGATGAAGCTTAGTAAAGGACGATCCCAACCATAAATAGCTGCGGCCGCCTTCTTTATTTCTTGCATGGTTCTGGGATGGCGACCATTTTAGTACCACTTGGAAACCATGGGAAACCATTGCTTGTTGGTATTTGCAGGGGAATCATCATTCCAGGGCTCCTTGGGTGGTGCAGGATTTCGTCCATCCACAGTATCAACCCAACTGATCCAACCCGCTCTGAAGATCCACCCTCATAATCGGGCCCCCAACAGACCGTCACTCACTGCTCCTGGGTCTGATCCTCTGATCCCCCCCGTAAAAGGATCATGTCCTGGTCGCAGCTCCCTTGCCGGGAACCCAATGGTGGTCTAATTTCCCTCTTGAGTGCCCAAGTAAGCAGGGCTTTTGACCGGGGTGTGAAGTTGAATTGGGAACATCCTCAAGTGTGATTTGTGGGCGGATGTAAATGATATCCACCCAAGGGTCCCCAATATGAAACCAAAGGGGTTGGCAAAGCGACTTGCGGCCAAGGAGCGTTAGCCGCGTGCCTGTAGTTGTACCAATACCGCGACGTCTCCACCAACACAGCCCAGTTGTTGCCTTGGCGGGGAGAAACGAACGAGTTGACCTTTGGTACCCACAAGAATTAGGGTGTATCTTGTTTAGGGACCTCCCAAATGGTGATTTTCAATTTGTCCCTTTTGAGCCGCACAAAACGGGCAGCTTTAAAACAAAAACAGGTGTGTTGGGCTGCACTATCCGCATCCGCCCGTGTAAGAACGGGGGTGGGGAAGCCTCTGCGCGGTCAGAAGGAATCCCGGCACAACCCGAGCGGAAAAACGATTCGACGATCCCGCCCCAATCGGCCTTCGGAAGGGCGTCGGGGCGTCGCGCGCTCAACAGATATTCTTTGAAAGGTGAGTTTGTCTCCCAATAAGGGACCCCAAAAAACTGAGAGACACGAAAAGGACCACTATTGCCCCTAACCTAACCCCTTCGTTCCCCCCCCTATTTGAGACAAGCCCAAATATTGCAAGCGACGCCACATCCAGCGGCAAAACGCTGGCCAATTGCCACCCATAGTATCAGAGCTGTGAACTTGAAGATGCTATGCCCTTTGTGAGTTTGTTCCCAACGTACACCAACTTCCCCCGACTCCAAATACCCATTCCCTCTAAACTTACCCCGAAAAGGGTTGCCTCAAGCAAAGACACACCCTTATCACCCAGTCACCACCCAGGAAGGGATTGAAAAAACCTATCTTGCGATCTCTGATCGGATAATTTCCCTCGGGGTCGGCTCGGGGAGAGGGGGTGGGCATTTTGCTCTCCTTTAAGTCAGCTTGTCACAGGGGTGGGTTCATACAATGAGGCACTTGCAATCAGACCTTCACCTCTTTCGGGTCCCTCTCGAACTCTCTGAGAGTCTGACTAGGACGCAAGATGGAGCGAATTCGCGCCCGTTTGCCACGGGTTCAAGGAAACCAACTACACACCATCGTCAATTCCAGGCTTCTCCTTGATTCCCTGCTTGCAATATCTGGGGCGTCTCACTCCTTGAACATACACGGCGTATACACTTCTGAGGGGTCAAACAGAAAAGAGTTAAGAGGCAACAATGGTAACCGGCAAAACCAACGAAATACCTGTCTCTCCCACTAAAATGGACACTGCCAGGGAGATGGTCCCTTCAACAGGATTTGTTCATCTTTCAGGTACCTTCCCGCAGGTGCCTTTGGTCTGTGAAGGAAGGGCACACTTGTGGAGCAGTGGTTGCGACGGAATACTAAGAATTGATGGTCGTCTGAGAGTTATGAACAACATAGCAAAAATCCAAAATTATCCGCGTGGGCAAGGTTCAAAAGGACAAAGTTCAGAAAAACATGGCCCAGCGAATCCAGAAGCCCAAATATTATGTTCCTTGTGGTTTCCCTTCAATTCAAGGTGAAAAGTCTACCCTCACAAACACACACACACACACACACAGACACACAGACACACAGACACACAGACACACAGACACACAGACACACAGACACACAGACACACAGACACACAGACACACAGACACACAGACACACAGACACACAGACACACAGACACACACACACACACACACAGAGACACACACAGACACACACAGACACACACAGACACACACAGACACACACAGACACACACAGACACACACAGACACACACAGACACACACAGACACACACAGACACACACAGACACACACAGACACACACAGACACACACAGACACACACAGACACACACAGACACACACAGACACACACAGCAAACACACAAACACACAAACACACAAACACACAAACACACAAACACACAAACACACAAACACACAAACACACAAACACACAAACACACAAACACACACACACACACACTCACACACTCACACACACACACAAACCCATTCAAATCAAATTAACAAGTTGGAGTTCACTCATGGAATATGGAGTGTGCAAGCAAACTGGGTGTACCCAATTGGTAAGTGGAGTGTCTGTAAATGAACTGCCTGGTCTCCTTTTGCTTCCCTTCAAAACAACCCCCCCCCTTTTTGGGGAGATATACCCCTTAAACAAAAGCACCACCCCGGGAACAAAAAGAAAAAGGATACCCAAAACACGCACCAAAGCGACTCTCTCGAGGCTCCGGCGCTCTCCAGCATCACTGCTGGCACGCAGTATCAACCCAAGCCTCGGGCCGATCTGAGAAATGATCTGTCCATTTAATCTACTTGCTGGTGCCATGGGCCGATGAGAAATGGAATGACCCCGAGAAAAACCATACTGGCGGTTTCCTTTAAGGGCACCCCAAGGTTCATTCCCTCGTTCCCTACTGCTCCGTGTTAGCTCAAAACGCGCTGGGATCTGCGAAGCTTGACTACAAGAGCTGGCACATGCCATAGCAAGAGGCATCCGTCTGTTGAGTTTGATCCAAGGTGGCCTCTTCGAAGTCGTTTCCCATGTGGCTGTGGGTCAAAAATGGGTACCCAAAATGGAACCCTGGTAAATGGAACCCATGACTAAAACCTGCGGTCCCCTGCTGGTTTAATTTTGACCCACACCCATATATGAATACCTGTAGGTCACAAAAAGTCCAAGCAACGAGAGGGATTCTTCCAACACAGTCCAGCATGTATGGTACGCAACCAACATGGACTGGCTATATACTGTGGATGGACGAAATCCTGCACCACCTAAGAGACCCTGGAATGATTCGATTCCCCTGTAAATACCAACAAACAATGATTTCCCATGGTTCAAGCTGGTGCGAACAGGATTTCGCAACCATCCAGAGTAGCTCTACTGCTCGTTGGGAATAACGCAGGGGGCAACCCCAAACCGTACCAACAGCTGCAAAGACTGAGGGACTGAGGCGTCGGCAACAAGCCAAGAGCTCTCGCCATGGCGACTGCCCGACTGTGGACTCAGCTTCTCATTCTGGGTGTTCTCATTTGATCCCCTCAGCTGGGTCTAAGAAACCAAAAGCTCCGCCATATTTTTTGCAACTGGGGTACTTGAATCGCGCCTAGTCGCTGCTTCCCATTGGAATGGCCGGGGTGTGTGTGTGTGAAAGTATGCGCGTATATGTACACATATGTATCTATGGACGAAACCACATACATCTATATACATATACACATATCCTCAGGGGTTGCTTCTGACAGCTTTGTGCCTTGCCCCGCCACGATCCAAGAGTCGGCCGACCGAGTTGCGAGGGTTACATCTCCACCAAAACTTGGGAGGGGTCGAAAGGTCCGCTGGATGAGAGCCTCACTAAAGTCGGAAGGAGCTTCTTTTGCTTCTGGCGCACTTGTCGCTGAATTCACTGGGGTCCCCTTGAAGATCACCCTTGGATGGTAAAATGATGAGAAAAAGAGTGGCCGATGTCCAAAAGGGGGAATCTGGAGGAGCCCTGAAATGACCGATGCGGCATGCTTTGCATGTGCACGGCGAGGTGAAACTTGCAAGTGACACAAAGGTGAGGATTCATCTTTTGAGCTGAGTCCCTGGCAAAAAACAGCCAATGTCGAGACCTGCAACTTCTCCACAAAAACACCACTCCCCACTACGGGAAACTCACCTTAAGTGTGCCGAAAAGGTGATGTTCAAGACCACCAAAAAGGGAAATCTAGGGACCCCTTGCAGGAAACATATCTCCGCGGAAGTCGATTCATGGCTCCTTACGCGATTCGAAGCAAATGACCTTGTCGCCTGGCATCATCGCCTGAAGTTTGCCGGCGGAAGTGTGCAGGGCTGCTCCCACCACATGTCCAAGTACTCTTGATTGGTGGATTGGTTTGGGGGTTCGAACCTCTGGTGCTTGTAGAGGGTAGATGGAAACCCCCGAAGCGCCTCCAAAACCAACAATCCCAACTACCACCTTAGTCTACCATATTGAGGAAGTGTCAAAAAAAAAGGGGGCAACCAGAAAATGGTAGTTCGCTGTTTGGCGTCCCTAAACGAACCTGAAAGGGTACCCTTCACAAAGCAAGCAGACCTACATGTCTTGGCAACTTCTACAATTCCCAAACTGTAAGAGACCTTCGTCATGGTTAAGCTTGTTTTGCCTAATCTCCAATCGGTGTGCCCGCTTTAATGTGCGACATGTCCAACCTGTCAACCAAAAGCAAACTCACTAACCTGGCAAGGGCAAAAGTGTTGTTAAAAACCATGTACGGGAGAAACTACACCAAAACTGTGGAATTAGTTTCACCCAACTAAGATGAAATATGGGTGTGTCTCAACATACGGGAACCCCACAATGGCTGGCTTCCTTTAGGTTTCCTTTTTTTTAAGGTGCACCTGTTAAAAACGGACACCTCCATGTCGGCAAAGCGGGTACCTCCTCACGTGAGTTGCATTGGTTTGGCAAGTTGAAGCATTTGTGTGGGGAAGAAACCGAGCGAGAACGCAACTGAGTTGCTCCTTCCTGGAGTCTCCCTAAGGACCCTTTAAAATTGGGTCCATGACCCCATTATTTTTGGGTAATGACCAACCATTTTTTAAGGGTCATGGAGACTCCAGGTTGAGCAAAAGGTCTGCCTTTGGTCGGTTGTAATGGACAAGCTGTTGTTTCCAACAGGTCTCACGGTAACTCCAACAGCCCCCGAACTCCGCGGACATCCCCGGAACGCTCGAGAAATAAAAGCTGCTCCGTTGGTTTTTGGGTTCTGTTTTCAAATACTTCTTCTCAGGCAATCACCTTGGGGTTTGGGAATGACCCCCAATTCCCCAGGAAGCCGCAAGGGATGGTGAACCGTATCTTTTTTCGTTTCACAGCTGGAAGTTTTGAACCAAGTTCCCCCTCCAAGAAAAAAGGAGACAAGGGAAGCAACGCACGCCGGATGTCGAGAACACGCGCCGCTCAAGCGGCTTGAGCAGGCATGATCAACGCTTGGCTCTGGGCTCCGAGCCGTCTCTTTGCCCGGCGGCGCTGTGTAGACGAAGTTCACCCTGGGGGAAAAAAAAAACAAAAACAAACAACAACTAGGTCCTACAGTAGAGAGGTTAGAATACGGGTAGTCTATTTTAGGGGAACCCTCCCACAAAAAAGGCCAAAAGGGTACCACTGGGGGACCTAGACAAGAACTTGGGTGACCCTAACTGGGAGTCCAACAAATGCGTTCTAGGATGCTAGACACATGATTATCCTTTGGTGCAAGCAGGAACCAGGTTCATAGCATCCCTTTAGGATCCGCTGAATGCATGGTTACCGTGAGTGGACAAACTAGGTTTATCCCATTCATAGGCTCAAATGGTAAGAAAACGCAAACTTTGAGAACCCCTCAACACATTCGCTTTCAGACCCCCAGCTGCCCAAATGGCATGTGCGCGGCAATGCAAGGATCCAGGCACCTGGCAAGAAGCAATCAGTATCAGCCCAGTACTGTTGTATGAGACCAAATTTGACTCCCCCCAAAAAAACACTGCCAAAAGTCATTGGCAAGTCGCATCAGCCAGGTCCGGGTACTTCGAAAATCCTAAACCTGGAAATGAAATGGGTCTGGGAAACTCAAAGTCATGTCCAAGTCGAGAGAAAGGCGTGCCTGTTTGCGGCTGGGACGCCCTCTACTAAACCAGGCGTTGATGGAAACTTCAGCGATGTTGAATTCTATCAACAGAATCAAACATACGTAACCTACTTTTACCGCTCCGCAAAAAAGACAAGGGCTAAGGCGGACGACGAAATCCCCCATCTTGGCTGCCGTTCACAGGGATTCACCATTAACAGGACAAGCAACTGGCCCAGCTCACTGACTAATCCGATCGCTGCTCATGCCTGCTGCCAAATGGAACAAGTCCGCTTTTTCAAGAGCAGGGCTCCTTGTAATTTCATTTTAAAGATCACACTAACAGGAAACTAACTCTAAATTGGCCCAAAAGGCAATGTTTATGAATCTCAGCGGGGGAAAATAGGGACCCCGATTTTGCTGTGTGGGACGCTGTGGAGGCCTGCGTTTTTCCAATGGAACGTACGTTTGTTCACCAAAAAACTTTGCTTTCCATTTAGTGAAGGGGCACGAGATGTTGACTGAGACGCTCTACATTTGTCCAAACGCATTGCAATCAGACCATGAGCAAGATTGCTTGCAGCTCAAACTGATCACTAGATGCATTGATGTCTGGCGGAAAACAAGTTGTCCTCATAATGGAAGAAGAACATCTAAGGATCTTGGTCAGATGAACTGCAAAGATTTGCATAGCGTACATCAACACTATGATTGTGATACCTCGCGATGCAAAAGCAATGCGGTTTCATTGCCTTGACCCATTCAAATGAATGGAACTTTCCCTCGGCGTTTCAAAGACTCAGCGCTTGCAAGCATACGTCTTGGCAGCAGGACGCCGCAAGAGGCCACCTTCTTCATGGCCCGCTTGTGGTCAGAGAAGGCGTTGAAGTGCGAAGTGTCTCCTTTGCGCACCATGAAATTGTGCCGGCGAGAGTAGAGGACGTAGACGCAATGCTTGATGGCATTCATGGTGTTGAGGACATGTTCGCGCGCAGGCTCGCCCACATCAAGTCTGCTTCGGACAGGACGTTGTAGTAGAGCAGGGCCGCCGAGTAGTCCTTATTGAAGCGGGTGTGGCAGTGGTCAGCAGGCCAGAGAGCGTCTTCCTGACACCAGGCAATTGCTTTGGCGCTGAGGTAGCAACAAAAATGCGAAGCATCGTGATAGCGCAAGAAGGACCCCGCCCACCACTGCGCTATATCTAAGAACACTGAAATTGTAGGTGAACACGCAGGCCTCCACAACGTCCCCTTCTGCGATTTTGACTGGGTCCAAACAAATGTGACATAAAAGTGGCCCTCAAAACCGACGATTAGAGGGAACCCCTCCCCCCCAAAAAAATGAGGACGGGCCCGAGGGACCCAGCTTTTTTTGATTTTTTTTTATATCTGGGGAAGCTCTGATGGACATCATTCTGGGGAGGTACTGTGGATGCACAAAATCCATTAGCACCAAAGAAACCCTGGTTTCTGATGATCCCCCTGGAGAAATGATCATTTCAAATTGGTGCGAAATGGATTTCGTGACCACCCACAGTACGTCCCCATTTTGAGAAACACTCAAATGGTGGGGGGCCGCGCTTCACCGTCTTCCGCGTCTTGATGGAGTTGGTCAGCCGGGACGCCCGCACGTCCACGCCTACACGCGAGCGTGCCCGCTCGTAACTAGGGGAACCGACAAAATGGTTGGTGTCCTTTTGGTTTCCCTTTAAACCAGCCCAGAAGGGTACCCTCAAAAAAGGACCCTCGCCAACATCCTTGAAAGGACATACTTCCAAATGGGAAGCCGGTTCCAAACGCAAGAACCAGGGGAGCCATCATGTACTAGGTCCTCCACTAAAGAGGTTAGAATAAGGGTACTCTTTTTTTGTAGTCTATTTCCAAAAAGGCAAAAGGGCACTACTGGGGACCTAGTATAGAAGCTTGCCCGGATTCACTTCCAAAACCTTTCGATCCAGTGAGGCCCCCAATGACTACAGCAGAGAGTGAGTATTGTCCGTTGCTCGCATGAGTGCTTGTCGTTTTCGTTGAGGCTACCCTTTTTGGGGCTAGAGGAAAACAAAGGAAACCACCCATGTTGGGGGGTCGGATTCCCCAGTTTGAGACAAACGCGTATGTACCATGGCTCCATTAGCCGGAATCCTGGTTGTCTAAGTCCCCTTTGCAGGGGTCCATGACTGCCCCTATTTTGACATGTTGCCCCACCAAGAATTGAACCGTTTCGGCTGGAAAACACATTGTCCCACAAGAATCGCTCTTCGAAACCAGCAAGATCAGTGTTGAAGAATGAGTGGATCAAACGAATGGCAGGCATACTGGGGATCAACAACCATTGTCCGAAGGAAAAGCAACTCAATAGTGGTGGCTTTGCATTACACTACTCTGGAAGACCATACTAAGCTGATGAATCCCCCAACCATGAACTGGCTTCCTGCTGAACTAGGAAAAGGAT